AGCAGACAGACAGAATCGTTTTACCGACCCGTACATAATTCCTACCGGCAGTGCAAAAATTAAGAGTAAAATTAATCTCAGTAAAAAAGTTTTTGTTTTTTCTTTCATGTATTTATATTTATGGTCTGAAGTTTGATTCTTTTTTAACTGACTTCAAAAAAGGAGGAGGTTCTCAATTCGACTGTATGTTTTTTTTTATGTTTGTTACCTCATAACTTTTGACTGGGTGAATCGATTTTGACGATTCTTTTTTTATTAGAAAGCTGACGCTTCCTGTGTGGTCCCATTTCCAATTTAGTCCAATTCTGATAATGGTATCCATGAGAAAACCATATAAGTCTTAAATTTGCATGAAGTACGTACTCGACAAATAGATGAATAACTCAATTCCAATTCAAACTCAACCCCAACCGATTTCGATGGTTTAAGGTTTTAGTGAATATTAATTTGTTTTGGAATATCATTTTTTTTCTATTGGAAGTCGGTTTTTGTTAAAGCATGTCTATATATTTACAATTATATTATATTATTTTGTATATGTATTCAATATTGATTTTATTTTTATAAATATTTACTTGTTTCTTAACAGTACCGAATAAAATCACCATCTGTTCAAATACAATGTAAGTACATTGAGTACCGTGTAATCGATACATCGAGTACTTATTCAATTACCGCCGACAGCAGTAAGTGACACCTAAGGATGCGCTCGCGCAGTTTCCGGCGCGTGTCTGAGTACGGCTTCTCGGTTCCGGCTGTATTCGACTTTGATACAACTTTAAAAGCACTAAATTGAACTTAAAATAGACCTAAATGATCTTAACATAAGGGCTACGTGAATTGATGTGGTATGGTTGCTATTTGTTTAGGTCGTTGGCACGCTGCAGTTAGGACCGGACGTTGCAGGGGATTTGTGGATCCTAGGTTCTGTGTTGACTGTAGGCTATGTCTACTATCACTACATAGTATAAAACAAAGTCGTTTTCTCTGTCCCTATATGTATGCTTAAATCTTTAAAACTACGCAACGGATTTTGATGCGTTTTTTTAAATAGATAGAGTGATTGAAGAGGAAGGTTTATATGTATATTAACATCCATTAAATAGTGGAGAAATCAATAATAAATTACAGTTTCCGAAGCGAAGCGAGGGCGGGTCGCTAGTATGTTATAAAAGTAGCATAATATGTCAATTCATTCTTCGTATTTGTTATACTAGTGGTCTCGCAGTAGTCGAAATTCGACTATAATTAATTGGAATTGTAAGTTTGTACACTATTATGGTTGTATTTTATACTTCTATAATGACAAATTTCGCCAAAACTACACTATAAAAATATTAACAAAGACAAATAATATTTAATCTATTCTCAATTTGACAACAAACGTCAAGAACAAAAGTTTGATAATAAATAGTATGCATGCGTGTGTGTGTCAAATACATGGTATGTAGTGTGTGTAATGTTTTCTCTATTGATTTAATGTATCTTTTGTGCGTTATTTTTAAAAAATATTAGCATTGTGCACTTCTTCTCTATATTCTCTATAAGTGTGGAAAATTTCATACTCCTCCGCCCGCGCAATTTTCGTAAAAAGGGATACAAAGTTTTTGCTTCACGTATTAATATATAGATTAGCATAATATATAGTTTTACTGAATCTCGAGTTTTTCTTTATGCTTAAAGTTCAATAAATGTAACCCACTTTAATTATAAGTATTTATATATAGTGAAGATTGTTTTTTTATAAAACTGAATGTACGCGCTTATTGTAAAACAAAAGGAGTGAAGTCGATTAAATATCAAAATAACACAAAAATTCTAAAGATCTGAAGCAAAAGCACACTTAACAGGCGATCACTCCAAGCAAGCATCGGATAGACTAAAAACCCCAAATAAAAACATTCATTTAATTTTGAAATATGCATTTAGACAACCAGTAGACGTTTATTAAGCTAATTCAGGCAAAATACTCAACGTAGCTCGTATTTGACACAACAATGGCGCTGATTGCACAGAGCTTCGCCCTCTGTACTGAGTTAACTGAATCGTGGATTGAATTACACCCAATTATGAGAGTCTCGCTAATACGTACATACATACGTATATAGATTAGATATAAGACAGAATATGAATAGAGATTAAACACTATTAATTTACTTTGAAATTATAAAAAGACTAACGAAGATTTTATTATCATATAAACAAATATCTATACATTAATTCTTCTGAATGTTTAGTAGCTATTTCAGATCGCTTACAGTACTAACAAGTAAGTACCTAATTGGAAATAATCCTAGCTCAGTTGAAGATCCGGACTAGACTCTCCACCATTTGCATGCGAAGGATACTTGAATACTTTGGCCACATCGCAAGGAAAGACAGTGACAACTTGGAGAAATTGGTGGTCACTGGAAAGGTCGAGGGCAAGCGACCAAGAGGCAGGAACCCGACCCGTTGGACGGACCAGATTCGTGCAGCTCTGGATACCACAGTGCACGATGCTCTGCACTCAGCTGCAGATAGGAACAGATGGCGGTGCACTATAAAAAGCAAACTGTTTCAAGGCCATGACCACGACCCTCAGTAATGAGGAAACCGACGCAAGGAGGAGGAAATAATTTAATTTTATCATTTTGCAATAGCTATTCTAATCCATTTTGTGATACTGCTTTACTGGTGGTGGGACCTCTTGTAAGTCCGCGCGGATACGTACCACCGCCCTGGCTATTTCTGCCATGAAGTAGTAATGCGTTTCGGCTTGAAGGGTGGGGCAGCCGTGGTAAAGTTTAGAACTTATATCTCAAGGTGGGTGGCGCATTTACGTTGTAGATGTCTATGGACTCCAGTAACCACTTAACACCAGGTGGGCTGTGAGCTCGTCCACCCATCTCAGCAATAAAAAAAGACGTCTCCAACCCATTGCATAATATTCAACCAATAGTAGGACTATTGACTACTGAGGAATTTGGTAGAACTTCAGGACGCTAAATTATATTTGAACATTTTAGTTAACTGAGATCAGATTTTAATAAACCTAGCCGTTGGTAGCGGCTATATTCTAGACATTCTCAGAATCGGGAGAGCCATTCAGGAAGTTTATAAAAATGGGCGTAAACATTACAATGTTCATATTGCTTGCTTGAACAACTGTATAAATATATTTTATGCAAAATTAATAAAATAATTGAAGCTAAGAACTTTTACGCTCTATCTTAGAAATTGATCCGAAATGTTAAACAGAACTAGCACGCATAAAATCTTCCATACCACATATCATTCTGTACGGTCTTGATATTACTATATTATTTTCAAAGTATTGTATGATAAATTATGTCATTTGTTGGAAAATGCCCAGTAAATAGTGAACGAATAATTAGAGTTCGATGTTGAAATTTTGATTTCTCTGTTGAGTTGTATCACTTTGAGATTTCGTATAAATTACACATTCAATGAATGATCAGAACTTTATTTTTTATTTTTTTTATTGCCTAGATGGGTGGACGAGCTCACAGCTCACCTGGTGTTAAGTGGTTACTGGAGCCCATAGACATCCACAACGTAAATGCGCCACCCAGATATAAGTTCTAAGGCCTCAAGTATAATTACAACGGCTGCCCCACCCTTCAAATCGAAACGCATTACTGCTTCACGGCAGCAATAGGCAGGGTGGTGGTACCCACCCGCACGGACTCACAAGAGGTCCTACCACCAGATATCTTAGAAAATATATTATGTATGTAAGAAATGATTATATTTTACTCAGTAAGTAACGACTATGGTCATATTTAATTCTAGTTTAAATCCATGTAGCATCTTCCTTCGCTTAATAATACATCATTATGAAATAACCTATGTTTAAATAATGCTAGTGCACGAAGGTCCCATTGAATTGAGGCTCTAAGGATGGGCGGCGAAGTGGGCGGGTCGGCAGTCGTTTGGGCGGAACTCTCGGGCGGGCGGAGACTTGACCCGCCCAACTATCTATCTCTTATTTTTCCTTAAATATTCTTGAATAGAATTTTATCAAATCTTTTTGTATTTTGTTTTTATTAGTATTGTTTATTTTAGCGTGAACCAGCATATTTTTTTATAACCATAAATCTAGAGACGATACGAATTTTAAAATCAATCAAATTGATTTTATTCTCAAATTTTCAAAACAGACATTTACCATGATAGGTTTTTTATTCATCAAAATATAAATTAACGCTATGTTAAAACAGACAATAAAAGAGATACCCTTTTTGAATATACCTCTTGTTTTCGGAATAGAGGGAATGTTGATTTAAAAATGTCATAATAGGTACAATAATACGCTCAACAGAGTAGGTACGAGATAAGGAATTGTCAAGTTCAATGATGGAATTCGTAATTAGCAACTACTTTTGGAACTCACATTTTTATTTAAAAGTCGAACGTACTTGTAAATTAGTAATAAGAGATAGACGACAGAAATCACACTTGTACGCACTTCTTCTTAGACCCTGTAGTTGCATAAATCTGCATATAACATATTAAACCTAGGGTCAAAGGTCATTTTTTTAACCAAACAGTTTCTGTTACACATTTCATTCGATCTCGAAAATATCAAGTCGATTGAGTGAGAAAACAAGGTACCCCATCAATATGCGGGTTTTATCTTTCATCATTGTTCAATGAGCTCACCTTCCATAGTTAAGGTTTAAAAAGTTGTAGACACTTGCGGCTTGTATGGGGGCCGCTCCAGACACGGTTGCAAGGACTAATGGCGAACGCGTGAGTTTTTAATTAGACTTCGCAAATACAGTAACAAAAAAATAATATAGTATTCAACATTTTCTTTCACAACTGTTATCCTACTCTTTTACAGAAAATGTTCACGTAAAGCTAATCACGTACGATCATCAATTATAATAATAATAATAGTTATTATGATAGTCTGTGATAAAAAATGTATATCTAAACAGGACGCCCTACGTAGGGGTGCGCGCCTGCGGCCCGTGGTACCGCACGCGTCAGGGTGCCGCACCCTGTTCCGAGGTGATGGCAGTCCTGTCCCGACCGCCCTGCAGAGCGGACCACCGCGCACCCCAGCCATCAAACACCGGCGATCGAACGTCGCAAACTTCGAAAAATTCAAACTCCGAACCATTCAAAATTTAAATCAGTTTTCTTTTGTCGCACATCGTTTTAATTCCATTTTTAAAATTATTATTATTTTGTAAAGTCACAGACTAGTGCACGGGGTGTCGGGAACTGAGTCAGCGGTGGACCAGGCCAAGGTATGAGTCACATTTAGTTTTCTTGCCATAGTAACACCCTCCTCCACACGCACCTGCGTTGATAGCAAATGCACGCTTTTCGATGTTTCGCTTTGATTATACCGGCGCAGATTTACTTACCATTAAAGGGTTGGTTTTTCGTGACGTCACTCTGTAACGCCAAAGAAAAACATTCATTCTATTCCAAATGCTTCTTAATAAATTTACAACTGAAAACTACGTTGTAACTTGTAACTTATTAATTTGTCTGTGTTTTTTTGCATTTTTTTTTCTCTTGTGAAATAATTTATTGAAGCACTTACATACTATAAAGTCGTGTCAAATTAAATTTGATAAACAAAAAACAAAGAAATGGTGATTGGTGAATTTTATGTAAGGAATAATATCAACTCAGCTTAAATTCTGTTAGATCTGATGAAAATTCTCATATATGTATATTCTAAAACATGTTTGAAACAGGTAAGGTGGCAAATCTCTGCAAGCATTTTTGGTGTCGATAAAAAAACCACACTTTGAATTTAAAACTGCTTCAAATTTCATGCTTTATAAATTTAAAATAGTATTATTAAAAGAAGCAACCGAATCGAAACAAACAGTCTTCTTAGCTTACACGGGTTGTTTTTTCCATCGAGCAGATATTAACTTTTGTAAGTAGTTCGCACTGTGAGGCAGTGTGCGGAATGTAAGTGTCATCGTAAATTGATTAGCGTTCGAGTTGTTGAAGCGTGGGAGGTCCATACATTTAGTGCAACTCAAATCGACTATGTAACAATCATTTATTATATATTTATAAAAATTGCAAAAAATTAATAAAAAAACACTTCCTGAACCAATCAATCTTAATTTACGTTTTAAATTTTTTAAATATTTTTTTTATTGCTTAGATGGGTGGACGAGCTCACAGCCCACCTGATGTTAAGTGGTTATTGGAGCCCATAGACATCTACAACGTAGATGCGCCACACACCTTAAGATATAAGTTCTAAGGTCTCACGTATAGTTACAACGGCTGCCCTACCCTTCAAACCGAAACGCATTACTGCTTCACGGCAGAAAATAGGCGGGCTGGTGGTATCTACCCGTGCGGATTCACAACAGGTCCTGCCACCAGTAATGCCGAAACTAGTGCTAAAATGAATTTAAATACACATTATTGCGTATTTTTTGAGTCGGATCAAATATTTTTTGTTGCTTTATTTATGTATCTAAGTCAATAAAAACTACGGCTGGTCGCACGGTGGTCAGTCGAGTGTTCCGTCCACTTTTAATAATCGTAATTTTGTTTGGACTCGATGAATTCCAATTACAGGGTGAATACTAATGGGGAGTATTACGTAACCTCAGTCTTTACACCTTTTTTCGGAATTTAATTTATTTTTCGTGCTTCTGTTAGCTTGACTTGAATTTATCTTTATAGTATACTGGCTTTTGCTCACGACTCCGTCCGCGTGGAATAGTTACTTTGGCATAACGCTAAATTACGCATTTACGTAAAAAGTGAAAATATTTTTGAATTATAGAATATTAAGGAGCTATTTAAACCCCTATTTTGAAACATTCTTTATTGGTGCTCTACTTGTATTGGTCTTACCATGATGTTATATATTATAGCCTATAGCCTTCCTCAATAAATTGACTATCTAACACTGAAAGAATTTTTCAAATCAGAACAGTAGTTCGTGAGATTAGCGCGTTAAAAACAAACAAACTCTTCAGCTTTATAATAATACTAGCGACCCGCCCTTGCTTCGCTTCGGAAACTGTAATTTATTATTGATTTCTCCTTCTTCTTTTCCTCTTCAATCACTCTATCTATTAAAACAACCGCATCAAAATCCGTTGCGTAGTTTTAAAGATTTAAACATACATAGGGATATAAGGATAGAGAAAGCGACTTTGTTTTATACTATGTAGTGAGTATAGATTGGGGTAGGCCCTTGTGGTGGTAGAGCATTCTGTGAGCCTGCACGGGTAGATATAGCCACCCTGCCTATTTCTGCCGTAAAGCCGGGTTGTGCCTTTCGATTTAAAGGGTAGGTTACTGTAAAACTGAAACTTTAAAACTCATGTTTTAATAAGCGTGGCGGCATTTACGTTGTTATCTATGGGCTCTGGGGACCGATTAGCACCAAGGGAGCCGCGTGCCCGTCCACACATCTAAGCAATGAAAAAAATCCATGTACTCAACTCTATTACAACTACAATTCTGTATAACTTCATGACGTCTGATTGACTTGAAAACTTCCATACGGACAGATGAGATTACTACAGCTAGCCCACTGAGTTTCTCGCCGGATCTTCTCAGTGGGTCGCGTTTCCGATCCGGTGGTAGATTCTGCGAAGCACTGCTCTTGCTAGGGTCAGTGTTAGCAACACTCCGGTATTGGCTGAAATAGCCTCTCAAGGCTATCAGCATAGGTAGGAAAAAAACTACAGTATTATTACTTTGATCTAAAAATTACAAGGTCGGTAATATGACAAAAGTTCATTTAAAAAATTGATGGGGTCGTTATGAAAGCACGTGTTCATTGCTTGCTTGCTCGCGGCACGACCGGTGTTAAGTGATTACCGAAGCCCATAGAGATCCACGACGTAAATGCCGCCACGCACGTTATGACAAATTTCATAGTGTCAGTTTTATAGTACAACGGCTTTAGCACCTTTTAAGCCGGAAGGCATTAATTACTGTAGCGACACGTGCACTAACTATAGCACCAGTTTTTAGATATTAATATGTAATTGCTGTAAAATGAAATATTTTCTCAGTAGGGAATTTCAAATTCACGAAACGGACTTTGATGACGTTGAGGCGTCATCAGTGGGTGTAAACCGCAATGAGGCTGGCTCGGACTTCGAGACATGAGGTCGGTGTCTAAATCGGTGCAACAAAAACCACGATTAATAAACAGAACGATGACTTATTACTTACTTATTACTGGTGGCGGGACCTCTTGCGAGTCCGCACGGGTAGGTACCACCACCCTGCCTATTTCTGCCGTAAAGCAGTAATGCGTTTCGGTTTGAAGGGTGGGGCAGCCGTTGTAACTATACGTGAGACCTTAGAACTTATATCTCAAGGTGGGTGGCGCATTTACGTTGTGGATGTCTATGGGCTCCAGTAACCACTTAACACCAGGTGGGCTGTGAGCTCGACCACCCAACTAAGCAATAAAAATAAAAAAAAAATACAATAAACATACGCTTGCGTGCTCTGAGGACATCAGTAAATTAAATTCCATTTTATCTATGAGTATTGTTTAAATTGTCGTTAATTTTATCGTTTTAATCAAACTTTAACGCCTTAAAGACAACCATGGTGTGTGGTGAGTTACGCCTTAACTACCATAGGTGACGCTGTAATTTGACTGTTCAAGGCGTTCCGAAACGAACCATTATCGTGCCATACAATTATGATAATTTCTAAACCCTTTATTAATTACATTATTCTATCTATTACGTTATTACATTATTCGAGTGTTGTTGTTTTTTTTTATACCTACGTAACCAGGCGCACGTGTTTTGATGAAGCTTCCGTGAAAATATTTCAATTGTTCTAGTTCACTAAACACCGTATCTATATATATAAAAGAAAGTCATGTTAGTTACACTATTTATAACTCAAGAACGGCTGAGCTGATTTGACTGAAAATTGGCGAGCAGGTAGTTTAGAACCAGGAGAAGGACATAGGATACTTTTTATCACATTCCCGTGGGACGTGTCATAAAACGTGGTGTAACAAAACGCAACTGATATGGAATAACAAAACGCAACTGACAGCTAAACGTAATATATTCTTTGGTTAAATAAAGTAGAATTTTGAAGTTGACCGGTTGATGTGTTTGAAACAAACCGTGTGGCGGAACAAAGTTTGCCGGGTCCGCTAGTTCTATATAAAAGTCACGTTTAAATAAAATTGGTTCAGGCATTCAAATCGGCTCCCCTCCCCGGTGTTTCCCGAGCGCTATGACATGTCCTTTTTCAAACAAGGCTTGTAGAGGTACTCTCTAACGTACTCTTAACGGTAGGCAGCGGCTTGGCTCTGTCCCTGGCATTGCTGAAATCTATGGTCACCACTTACCATCAGGTGGGCCGTATGCTCGTCAATAAAAAAATGTTGAACTCATTCGATGTATGAATACATGGTTGGTGAATCGAAGAATATTTAATTGTAAAAAGTACTGTTGATCGCTAATCGAGTGGGCTAGTAAACACTTAAAGATTCCGTTATCGACTATTCATAACTACCCACAATTTATTTATTTTCTACTTTTTTTTCACTAGCCTTACCAACCTTACATGGTTAGCCTTTTAAATCAGTATAGGCATTAGCGAACAGTGGGACAGGTTCGAGTTTTACTGACTTTATGTCCCGTAATACAACATTTTAACAAAATATACAACAGCCTTTATCAAAATTAAATGGGAATATCATTAATCTAGTCGAAGTTCGTTAAATATATAATGCATTATTAAGTATGGGTAACTCAATAACAACTGGTTGGATCGATCTTGATTAAATTTAAATGGGACGACATCAGAAACACTGGCTTTCAAAAATATTATTATTACAAAAAAACATCGAAGTCACTTAGAAAAAAGTTCTATGATAAATAAAAATATACTAGAATAACTTCTTCCTTGTTTAAAACAGTTAAATATGGGAGGAATTTACTTTGTAATAACTATTGGTTTTCAATAAGGTAATTCAGGTCTATTCAAAAGTGAGTTTTAATGTCGCATTTTGCGACTCCCACAAAACCAGATCGTACTGCTCTAGGTCGATACCTCACTATGTATTTATGTTACAGAATTCGCTGTCTCTATACTATTATATAGTACAATTGTTAGGGTAAACCGGAGGGTAACCGTGGGAGTTCTGATCTCCGCCGTAATTAACCGGCGTGGACAAACTGTACTCCCCCAATCCTCGTTGTAACCAACCTAAGGATTATTTTGTCAATATGCGAGCCTATTACGGCTGTAATAAAATTACGAACGGTAAACATTTTGTATTCATTGACAGTTGCATAGACATTTGTATTAATTTTTTTTAATGACATTTTATTTATTGGTCTTTCGAATTGTATAATTATATTCATGCGATCGTGATATTAATACGTGAAGCAAAAACTTTGTATCCCTTTTTACGAAAATTGCGCGGACGGAGGAGTATGAAATTTTCCACACTTATAAAGAATATAGAGAAGAAGTGCACAATGCTAATATTTTTATTTTTTTAAATAATTCATAAAAGATACAATAAATCAATAAAGAAAACATTACACACCCTACATACCATGTATTTGACGCAAACACGCATGCATACTATTTATTCTCAAAGTTTTGTTCTTGACGTCTGTGGTCAAATTGAGAATAAATTAAATATTGTTTGTCTTTATTAATATTTTTATAGTGTAGTCTTGGCGAAATTTGTGATTATAGAAGTATAAAATACAATCATAATAGTGTACAAACTTACAATTCCAATTAATTATAGTCGAATTTCGACTACTGTGGGACCACTAGTAACTATCTAAAATTAAATAGTGCACTTGTCTTCTACGAAATGTTCCTTTTTACGTGATCTAGTTGGAAAATAAAGAAAAGAATTTCGGTGACGCGAAAGCGGTTGTTACGATCAAAGAAATGTGGCTCTCGTCCACCCTCGTGCGAACGCTTTTTAGCACATCTTTATTTGTTCTCGTTACGGCAGGAAACTTTTCTCGACCACTTTATATGATTACTTGTAACATAAAAAGTCTCTAATGTTGTTTTCGTTTTGTTTTAGATTAATATTTGTACGTGATTAAATGAAAAAAATCGAAATGAGCTTTCTTAAATTCTGCCAAATGCTTCACGCATGAACATGGAGGCAGCATTACCACATTTCCATCGACTCAACAGCTCCAGATTGTATCAGTATGCTTCTCCTCCTCTCAGAATATCCAACAGTTACCTCCACGATATCATTCCTCCTCAACATCCCAATTTACTCCAGCAATATCTGGCCTACTACAATGAACCAGTTGTCCCTCTCGATCTTTCTCTAAAATCCAGCACACCGATCACCCCACCATGCACCCCTCCACTAGCACAAAAAAGAAAACCTGACGAAATAAAAAATAAATCTCCCAAATTATTGAGACACTTCGAAGACAATGACACCAAAGAGGCGGATAAAAAATCAGAAAAATGGAAGATTGACGATGAAATCTCAAACGATAGTGACAGTCCGGAAGCAAAGAAACTTAAATTCACGAAGAAATTTTTTGATGAACTACAAACCTGTTTACCAAAGGAACCTGAGACACCTTCGAAAAGCGAAAGAGGTTCGCCAGACGTAGTTGAAGTCAAAGATGTGGAAGAAAGACCGAAAAAATCTCCTAAACCACTACAAGGACCATTGAAGAAGAGTAAAGTTGTAAGGCGTTTGATGTTTGATGAGGACAAAACTTCACCTGTGTCTGGAACAATAATACGAGATCTAGCCGAAGACGAAACATTAGTGGTTAGAAAGGTACGTTTGATGTTAATAATGAATATATTAAAGTAAAATGAGCCACAACACGAAGTATATGTTTAGATATTAAAAAATCGTTTCAAAACAGAACAACAAAGTTCAAAACGAACTATTTAATTAGACGTTTCACCTTACAATTACGGTAAATTGAGAAGCTATTTTTCCTTATCGCTTCGACAATTAAACAAGTATGAAATCGAGTATTTGTGCTGTTTTGCGGTAATAACTGCTTTAAGGGTTAGCCATAACGCTTTCTTCGAGGGTGTGCCTTTAGGACATTAAGCACGAAATAAATTGCCGTTCCAATACTACTTACGACACGTAGTAATTTCTTTTAGTTAAAACAGTGAGCCTAACGTTCCATTTATCCGCAATAAAAGCCGTGTAAATGATACACAATTAAGTAATTGTCACAATTTGTTGTGACCGAAGCGATTTACTGTGAATATTTAGGCTTGCATGTTCATTTACGTGTTTATTTCTAGGGCGATATAGATCCGGCCTTTAATGTGGTCGAAGTTACAGACGAAGCCAAAGCTCTGATAGCGAGTATTGAGAATCGACTGGGGCAGTACATCTGTAGATTGTGCCGGCGATTATACGGGGACGCATTTGCTCTGGCACAGCACAGGTGCTCACGCATAGTTCACATCGAATATCGATGCCCCGAATGCGACAAGGTATTACAATTAATCAAATTATATTTGTTATTTTTATTGCGATCCACAGACGAGCAAATGGTTTGACTGGTTTATTAAACGGTTATTGCGGCTTATAGAGACCGCAGCCTTGAGGTCCAAATAAATGAAGCTTATGATGTAAAACGACTGTCTCACCATTAAAGCCGAATCGTGTAACAGCTTCGCGGCATAAACATGCTGGATAATTCGATAGCCATAGGTAGCAGCCACCCGTGTGAGCTGTTAATATGCTCCGGAACTACTTATTGTTCATTTTCAGTGCCCTCGTCATGGAAATCTAGTTATACATATTTTGATTCCTCTAAATTTTCACATACATTATTATCTTCCACTCAATTATTTTTATTAAATTACAATTAGCACTTTATAGTGATATGAAGCCAATTGTTGAATGCTCTGTGACAACAAATAAAATCGAGGGTGCGGTGCAACTGTGAAAACTCAGTTTGTTTCCATGGGAATATATCGCCATAGAGTGGTTGGTAGTTAAATGTTTTTATAGTGTGGTCTTCTAAATTTTAATTATATTAATGGTGATCGATTTGAATTCGACATTAAAATTGAGAGGAATAAATATTCCGTATTGTTTTGTTATATACATAGAAGAAACTTATGATATGAAGATATATTTTTTTGTTTTGGTCTGTTTTCGCGAGTTATAGACTTTTACGGTTTAATCTAGTTTTTATCAATGCCATGTTATTTCCGACGTTTTTTTTTATTGCCCTTGTAGGCAGACGAGCCTTCGGCGCCCATCTCTTTTGTCACTTTACAGTTTTCGTCTGTCACTTATTACTCAGAAGTGAGATTTTCGAAAAAAAGTCCCCTACTCCTCAAACCGGAATTAGTTTTCAGTAGAAATGGGCAAAGCAGTGCGATAAACCCATAGCAACTCACAAAATTCTCGATAATCAAATAACCAATGACTAACGAGTGACAAAACTTCTAATTTAAACTAAATTTTGTAAATAGCATCATCAAATGTAGGGACTATTCTGGAACATTTATGTCTGAAATAAAATATATCAGCAACCTAGGGGCATATTAATAAACAATTATCGGCAGAACGAGTTGCAGAAACCGGCATCATTATTATGATCATTCTTCGTCGCTTTCTTCATTGCTGAACTGCCCACTGAGTTTCTCGCCGGATCTTCTCAGTGGGTCGCGTTTCCGATCCGGTGGTAGATTCTGCGAAGCACTGCTCTTGCTAGGGTCAGTGTTAGCAACTCTCCGGTTTGAGCCCCGCGTGCTCGCCTACAAACGTTAGGGCGAAGCTGAAATAGCCTCTCAAGGCTATCAGCATAGGTAGGGAAAAAATAATAATGCTGAAGGTCGTGTGCCTGAAACTTGACCGTGGCCTGTCTCGTGAGCTGTTTCCGTCTCGTCCGGTCCTCAGCTTCTCGTTATGATCATATGTATCTATTAATATGTACATATTTGATTAAAAACAGGAATGCCATTCAGAACTGTTCCATTGTGAACCCTTTTGAATTTAGACGAAAGCATTTTTTCAGGTTTTCAACTGTCCAGCTAACCTAGCCTCCCATCGTCGCTGGCACAAGCCCCGCGTGCCGGGGACCACTAAGCGACGAGACCCTCCGTCAACCGACGCTGGCCGGTTCTCGTGTCAGCGATGCGGCAAGCTGTTCCGCAGACAGGCCTATCTGAGGAAGCACTTGTTGGCACACGAGCATCCGGAAAATGAAACCGAAAAAGAGCCTTCAGCTTTCCGACAAGTCCATTCGGAATACAACGCATATCAACAAGTGAGTTGTCAACGTTCTTTTTTTAGTTAATATGGCCAGTGTGCATAGTGCGAGTTTTTTAACGTTCTCGATAGCGTAAAAGTTAGCTCATATTTGTATGGAATGGGATCGTTTGCCTACGTCGTTGTTCCAACTGTATACAAAATTGGGTTAACTTTTACGTTATCGAGAACGTTAAAAAACTCGCACTAAGCACACAGATAAGTCGACCCATAAAAATTACGCTTCCTGTGTTTGTTTTTATTGCCTGTGTAGGCACACGAGCATACGGTCCACCTGATGGTAAGTGGTTACAGTCACTCATGGACGCCAGCAATGCCAGGGGCACAGCTAAGTCGATGCCTGCCATTGAATACTCCACGTTTGAAAAAGGACATGTCATAGCGCACGGGAAACACCGTGGAGGGGAGGTCCTTCTAAAGCCGGATGATACGTGGCAGAAAAGGTCTCTGGAAATGCACTGTTCGAAGTCTCCAGTACTTTGTTAGAGTGGCCGTGTTCTAAACACCCTTGGGGTAGAAGTGAGCTAAATGACAGATGATCGTAATATGCCTTACCACTATGAAATAGCAGTAAAATCACTGTCGTCTAATTTCTTCAATAACTTCAATAGGAGACAATCAGAGATGCGAACTTCAATGCATTCTGGAACAAGATTCCCCCTCCGCAACATGAGTTGAATTGGGAAGGGTTGCGCACGCGCTGTGCGTCGTCCTGCTCGTCTGAAGACTCACGCAGCCTGGACGTGACGGGATCTGAAGACGAAGGCGGCGGGGCTATAGAAGGCTGACGGCGAGTACTGCGGCCTGTGCCGAGGTTTCCGGCATACACGCCGCTTGCAAACCCACTTTACAATTATGCAACATCGTATGCTCATGATGCGCCCCATATGTATTTCAATTAAAGGTAAATTCGTTTTGTCAAATCTAATACGTAACATTAAAACCTTAAACTTTCGATCTCCCGACTCTCTGTTAGTTTAAATTCCATTAAAATTAAATTTTAAATAAATAAAAAAGCATTGCAATAAAATTACAGATTTAGCACACACGAACAGTAGACTTAGCGCGTATTTCTTTTGTAAATAAGCGATCGTTAGATATATTAATATATTATTATCGATTTAAGTAATCTTAATTCTACATTGTACATATCATAATTTCCTGCGGCAACATTCCAAAACACGAAACGCGTGCACTAAAATGTTAAACATTTTATGTGTTCGTATGTAAGTACCCTCTTCGAGTTTACATTATTTAAGTTTATAGTTTTAGTAAATAGAATACTTATTTAAAAAAATCATACAAGGCGGATACGCTTTTATGCAATTAAATGTTTGTAGATTATGTTTTGCACTTCTGAAAAACAAAGCAACGAAGCGTCCGTAACATTAAAATTACCATCAATAATTTAACACATTTAACTAATAAAATCGGAACAAAAAATGCATGTTTACAATCAAATTACAAAAATAACACTCGAAAATACATCGGCAGAACTGGACGATGACCGCTGTGTTGTAAATAAACGTTGTAGTCCCTATATTTTTTATTTAATGCTTAAAGGATAAGACGTCCGGTGCATTCGTATCGGTGCGATGCACCGGTGTTCGAATCCCGCTGGCAAGTACAATTTTTTCTAATGAAATACGTCTTTATTATTGTTCACGATTGACTTCCACGGTGAAGGAATAACATCGTGCAGTAAAAATTAAACCAGCAAAATTATAATTTGCGCAATTACTGGTGGTAGGACCTCTTGTGAGTCCGCACGAGTAGGTACCCTGTCTATTTTTGCCGTGAAGCGGTAATGCGTTAAGGTTTGAATGGTGGGGCAGACGTTGTAACTATACTGAGATCTTAAAACTTGTATCTCAAGGTAGATGGCGGTATTTACGTTGTAGATGTCTATGGGCTCCAGTAACCACTGAACACGAGGTGGGCTGTGAGATCGTCGTAACCTAAGTAATAAATAAATAAAAAATCCGAGCTTAGTTACAATCGACCTAATTTCATTCTATTACAGTGAGCGACGCTCTATGAAAAAATGATGAGACTGTGCATACAACGAAGGTGCATCTAAAAATATACCGTGCACGTATCGATTCCGGTGACCCTGTAACGTCTTGGGCGCTTTTCGATCGATAGAAATCTATAGCACATTTGAAATTTCATTACTCGAACCATTTTTTTTTATTGCTTAGGTGGGTGGACGAGCTCACAGCCCACCTGGTGTTAAGTTGTTACTGAAGCCCATAGGCCCTTCAGGCCGAAACGCATTGCTGCTTCAAGGCAGAAATAGTAAGGCGGTGGTGGTACCTACACGCGCGGACTCACAAGAGGTCCTACCACCAGTAATTACGCAAATTATAATTTTGCGGGTTTGATTTTTATTACACGATGTTATTCCTTCACCGCGGAAGTCAATCGCGAACATTTGTTGAGTACGTATTTCATTAGAAAAATTGGTACCCGCCTGAGATTAGAACACCGGTGCATCGCTCAACACGAATGCACCGGACATCTTATCCCTTAGGCCACGACGACTTCAAAACGACGACTTCATTTAGGCTGGTTTTGAAATTCGACAGTATTATTTACTCGTTCGCCGCCACGAAATGTGTAAGCGTAAAGTATTAGAAATGTCTGAACCAAAATACAAAAAAAAAAATTACGTAAAATTAAACGATAAAAATAGTTTTAATAATGTCTGTGTCTACTCGCGAAGACTGAAGAATACTTAATTATTTATTTCAGTGATTACCTATTGCTTACTAATATAGATACAACTAATTGGCACAAAGATTTCTAGAGTACTGGAATTTTAAATGTGCCCATAGATTTTTATCAATCGGAAAACGCATCTTGGCATACCTACTTATTAGAGCGAAAGACAAATAGGGTCTCTTTCTAGGTTAAACTGGAGAAAATTTCTAAGAAAGGATGGTCGATATTTTCATTAGATGCACCATGTATATATTTTTTCAATTTTTTTTTAAGTTTTTTTATTGCTGAGATGTGTGGACGAATTCACAGCCCACCTGGTGTTAAGTGGTTACTGGAGCCCATAGACATTTACGACGTAAATGCGCCACCACCTTGAGATATAAGTTCTATTCATCAAAGTATTCAAACGCGGAGCCATTTGAGGACCTGTAAAATTTATTCCATAAAAGTAATTCATTGATGGTAGGTCGTATTGTGAGCAGCAGTGTCCAGCACGGATAGTTACCACATTTCTGCCGCGGAACGATCACTGTCCTCGTTTGAGGCCTTGGAACACCTAAAATCCGGTTGAGACTTCGACCTCACGTCCCAAGCGGTAAGGAGCGGCTTTACGGTACCCCTGGACTTTCTGACGTTCATGAGCGATGGTAACCACTCACCATCAGGTGGGCCGTATGGTCATCAACCCACAATAGCAATTACAAAAAGTAGGCATTTCTAGTCAAATTGATTGAATTAAAAATATACATAAGGTTTAGTTTTTATTTTACAACATTTTATCTAGTCGCATTTTCTAGTCAACTTTACAACTATTTACGTAATCTCATTTTCTAGTCATCTTTACAACTATTTACGTAATCTCATTTTCTAGTCATCTTTACAACAATTTATCTAGTCTCATTTTCTTGTAATTATTAATCAATTGAACAAATAAATTCGATTATAAACAAAAAAAACAAAATATACATTTTGTAAATTACAATTAAAAAATATATACGTATTTTATGCAAACTAATATAAATTAATATTTTTTTTTATAAATTAACAATTCGCATTCGTCGTCACTATTGTTCTAGTCATTTATGTTAGGTTTAGTAGGTAGGTAATTTAGGCCAGTCACGGCTTGTACTAGCATCCTCCAAATTTATCCGCGAAGCAATCACATACCTACTCTGACTTGAAATGTAGTATACAGTATAGTAGGCTGTAATTCAATTACAATTAAGATTAATATCGCATTTCACAAGCTGGCACATTTATGGCCCATGTTTTGTGAACCGTAGTAACTTAACAGAGGTAAGATAAGATCGTCTGCTTAATCCAAAAAAATCTAGTCAAAATCACTTAATGTCTAGTCAGTCAATAAATAAATATGTATGTATATACAAGTTTTTTTTACAAATTTTAAGTATAAATTATTAATCTTCAAGACTTCATTTGTAGGTTGTTTGACATATGTCTTCAGATGTATTTAATAAAGTAAAAGACTAAAATAAAAAAAATAAAAAAAATTATTGAACGAAGAGTACCTATGTAATGAACAGAAAGAAAGCTTTTTCCTTTGCAATCTATAAACCTATTTCCGAGCGGAGAAATATTGATCTCAAAGTATAGATGTACGATCTATACTAATGCATAATACTTTTTCTAGTTAAGTATCCTAGTCAATATTTATTTACATATATAAATATACATCTATTTTAGGCGTAACGAAGTCTAGTCAAAAGTACCCACTAATATATTACTTTAGGAATATAAATACATTAAGGCAAAAAGTAACAACACTCGAAATTAGAAAAAAAAACATTATAAGCATTTTCCAAAAATATTTTATTAATTTTTTTCAAATGTAGACTACAAACTGTGTGCTCAAATTATGCCGAAGAAAATTAAACGACTGGAAATACATATTTAATTATTTTAAATTTATATCTATAATTAAATTAAAAATTAAATACTACATTAATAATATTAATAATATTAAATAATAAATAATAAAAATAATAATTTAATAACTAAAATAAATTATTAAAAGGAGTCCCTTTAGGCTAGGTTCCGAAGATACTGGCAGCGTTCCCCCTTTGAATAGCTAGACTAATTCCTTGTCCAAGGTAGCTGCCAGCTCTTCGGTCGCCTTTATTATTATTATTTTTTTTCTTATTTTAATATGATTAATATTTTTAATGTTACGGATGCTTATTGTTCTGTTGATTATGACTAAATAACTAATTTGTATAGGTCTATTTATAAACATATCTTAGATTTACGTTATATGATCCTTATTTATTTGATAAATATTTAAAAAGAGTATTCAAAAAAAAAAAAAAAAGGGATGCCTTGAAATCGACAACAAAAATTGTGTCAAAGGCTTATATGTAATAAAACTTTTGTTTAAACTATAGATATCTAAGCAATGTTAAGTAAACGCCAACTTATCTATTCCTCGAGAGGTTTTTCTAATATATTTTGAAGACAAAACTTCATTAGCACTATTGTTGAATCCCAATGAAACGCTAATGACTCTCAAGAAACGAACTAAAAAAGAGAAAATTGAATAGTATTTTACATATAGGATGTAATCTATGAGAAAATGAGATGTGTTAGTTTCGAAGGTTTTACTTCTACAAAGCACGTACGTTTTTAATTAATATTTTTTAACTTGAAACTCTGCTCGCAATCTTGAAATACCACATTCATAATAAATTATTCTACTTTATAACATCTTATTGTAAATTGCAAGAAAATTTAAACATCCAGCTATTTTATTATTTGTTAATGGAATTCTAATTTTATTTTTATACATTAAAACCAGAGTAATAACAAATGTTGTTTTGCAAACTACTTAAACAGTAGTTATAGATGAGCAGAAAAATGCTTGTAACAAAGAATGTATTTTTTTTATTATAACAATGATAAAATGTGTTGTTCACATTAAGCTTTGTTTACAATTATTAATTTTAACATATAATCTCAGTATTAAAGAGATTCAATATAGATATAAGAATAATATAAGTTAACATATCTTAGATCCTAGATGTAAGATGAAAGGATTAATACCCGAGTGAAAATCTAGTCAGTGTGTCCTGCGCAACGCGTTCCAAAGATTTGTAAATATAAAAGAAACGCTATTATTACTTTTAAGTTTTTATAATACCTACGTGTGATTTCTGATTGTTTTCCTTTAGTTTTGCATTAGTTGAATCACGTGAAATTAATATGCACATTAGTTTAGTTTTAAAAGCGTATTTCGAAATAAATAGTGTCGCATCACTATTTTTGCATAAAAATATATCTCCCAGACTAGACATTTCAATAATAAATACATATGTATGTATATAGTGGAATAGGTAAATCGTTGTTTATTATGGTTCAATACTGTACGGCATAGCTGATCGTTGATTAAGCTAATGCCTGCCGTATCGACACGACTGAATCAAGGAAGCATCATACTGCATCGGATCTGTGTAAAAATCAATGTACTGTCAACCCTTGCGTACAATAGATCTTCTAGAGACAGCACCAAAGACTCCAGTCCCTAAACACTAAGGTGCTTAAGGAGTGTAAGTCGATCTACGTGTGATTTCTGATTGTTTTCCTTTATTTTGCATTAGTTGAATCACGTGAAATTAATATGAACATTAATTTAGTTTTAAAAGCATATTTCGAAATAAATAGTGTTACACCACTATTTTTGCATAAGTAAATAAATAACAGCTCCCAGATTAGACATTTCAATAATACATACGTATGTAGATAGTGAAATAAGTCAATCGTTGTTTATTGTGGTTCAATACTGTACAGCATTGGTGAAATAAGCTAATGTCTGCCGTATCGACACCCCTGAATCAAGGAAGCTCCATACTGCATCGGATCTGTGTAAAAATCAATGTACTGTCAACCCTTGCGTACAATAGATATTCTAGAGACAGTACCAAAGACTTCAGTCCCTAAACATTAAGGTGCTTAAGACTGTAAGTCGAGAGCAAAAGATTTATATTCCATTTCGAAAGCAATCTTAACAATATTATTATACAATATAATACAATAAAGACTCCATATTCGCGGCGTAAGCGCTCCGTGAATATGGAAGAGCGCATTTACAAAGGATATTCGGTTGGATGCCTACATATTGGAATATGTTTTGGAATATTTTTTATAAATGTGTACCTACCGATATACCGATTAGATCCGCGAATGATGAAATATTTCCCGCGAACATAGGAATTGGGTTGTATTTTTTAAATCCGCAAATAGTGAAAACGCGAATGATGGAAGCGCGAATAAAGAGCTTTTACTGTAAAATACTTGCTCTTGCGCTGTATCCTGGTTACAAAGTAGTGGATGGCTAAAACTACTATAATTAGATTTAGAAAAAAAGTATGAATAACAAAAATGTCAATTGTACATCGTACACTCTAATCATTATCCGTAAAACTTCGTATCCAGGTAAAAAAGGGAAAAGAAAATCAAACCGACTAAATGCAAGTGATTGTTAATTACACAGATTCATACAAATAATAAACGAATTCATAAATGTTTGAAGAAATGAATAAATTGCAATAATATTTTTATAGTATTAGGATGAAAATAAAATTTAATTGTCGGCGGGTTAAACAAGAGAGCTTCATTTTATAAGTTTTTTTATGTATTGAAGCATATCTTAACATTAAATGTATAATAATAACACCTATGTTACTTAATTTTTTTAATACTATTTTCATTGTACTATTAAATAAACTTAAAATATTATTTTATAAATACAATTTTCATTATATTACCAATGGAACTTAAAATATTATTATATGAAAACTATTTTCATTGTTTTACTAATAGGACTTAAAATATTATTTTATATTAATAACACTATTTTTAGTACATTACTGATAGTTCAAATGTTTTACGATGCAATAAAACAATTTAGAAGTAAATTAAATTATGAGTAGTTAGTTAACTTTAGATCTTATAATATATGCACAGATAGATACTTAAAATATTGTTCGCACCTAGTGTAATTTATTAGAGGGATAACAAAATAAAATATCCTTAGATTTTATGTGTTAGAAATGCATGGATGTATAAATTATTAAATATTATACGATATATATTGTGTTTTTTTTACGTGAGTATGAGGTAACCTACATATACAGGGTGTGTTGGAAACGCTCTACTTCCAGAGAGGAAGACAGGTAGCGCTAGCAGTCACCGATGGAATAACACAAGGGAAATCAAATTCAAAATATATTTGAAAGTAGGGGGCCCGGTCGCCGTCACGATAAATAAATCCTGGAGTTTTTTTTTTATTGCTTAGATGGATGGACGGGCTCACAGCCCACCTGGTGTTAAGTGGTTACTGGAGCCCATAGACATCTACAATGTAAATGCGCCACCCACCTTGAGATATAAGTTCTAAGGTCTCAGTATAGTTACAACGGCTGCCCCACCCTTCAAACCGAAACGCATTACTGCTTCACGGCAGAAATAGGCGGGGCGGTGGTACCTACCCGTGCGGACTCACAAGAGGTCCTACCACCAGTTAATCGCAACGCTACGCACCGGGTCCAATTGTAAATTTAAACCAAACACCCTGTTGCATTACGATAATTAAGCGTGGACTGTATTTTGTGCATGAAATATTTCTTGAACCTTCATATTACAATTTAAAAACGAAATATATGAGTTTTTTTTAAGTACTTATATGGGTGGACAAACTCGCAGCCCAGCTGATGTTAAGTGGTTACTGGAGCCCATAGATGTCTACGACGTAAATGTGCCACCCACCTTGAGATATAAGTTCTAAGGTCTCAAGTATAGTTACAACGGCTGCCCCACCATTCAAACCGAAACGCATTACTGCTTCACGGCAGAAATAGGGTATCTACCCGCGCGGACTCACAAGAGGTCCTACCACCAGTGATTACGCAAATTATTATTTTGCGCGTTTGATTTTTATTACACGATGTTATTCCTTCACCGTGGAAGTCAATCGTGAAAATTTGTTGAGTACGTATTTCTGTAGAAAAATTGGTACCCGCCTGGGATTCGAACATCGATGCATAGCTCAACACGAATGCACCGGACGTCTTATCCTTTAGAGCACTACAACTAAATATAAAATTGATTCGCTACTCTTGACGCTTGGCTTTGAAAGAAAATTTGTGTCATGGCGGATGTCGCTCGCTGACATTTTGACGTTCAGAAATTGAACACACCCAAAGAAATTATCAAAAACAGTCCAGCCAACCAGGGAGTTCAGTGACGGAGATACGCGCAAAATAATTAGGTTTATAAAGATTAATAAAATGAACGGTGTTTCCCAAACATTTCCTTCATTGCTCAAATGAAGTTTGAAAATGGGTCATCAGGGGTAGGCGTCGGCTTGACGGTACTTGGTGGGCCGTAAGTTCGTCTGTCAAGAATAGCTCTTAGTAAGTTTTTGGATGACACGTAATAGACAAAACTACTCGTACAAAAAACCTGATATACTTAGTCGTGTTGCGTGAAGTGACGGGGCTTCAAATCCTGCAATAGACGCCAATGTTCTATGGAAATACGTAGCTTTTGTTCTTGTTCGTGAACGAGTACCACGGCTTACTCCAATTATTATTTTTATTGCTTATATAGGTGGACGAGCTCACAGCCCACCTGGTGTTAAGTGGTTACTGGAGCTCATAGACATCTACAACGTAAATGCGCCACCCACCTTGAGATATAAGTTCTAAGGTCTCACGTATAGTTACAACGGCTGCCCCACCCTTCAAACTGAAACGCATTACTGCTTCACGGCAGAAATAGGCAGGGTGGTGGTACCTACCCGCGCGGACTCTCAAGAGGTCCTACCACCAGTAATTCTTTATATGATTTTTAATATATAATTGGGTGAGCGAGGTCACGAACCACCTAGGCATGCTATCGAAATTTGGGCTAACAGTGGAAATTTACAAAGATCTGTCTAGAATATCTGCTTATACTGCATCAGCTTGTCCATTTTATTGAATATGTAATATCAAACGTCAACGTTTTTAACCCTTTACGCTCCTACGTTACTTCTTCTTTTCTTCTTCTTAGTCGAATACTTCATTGCTGAAGGTCGTGTCCTTGAAAGCCCTTCGTGGCTCTTTGTACCATCAGCTTCCATTTGCTTCGGTTTTCGGCTTCTCTCAGGGCGTTCGTAACAGAGAGTCCAGTGAGCGCAGTTATCTGATCCGACCAACGGCTTGGTGGCCGGCCGGCGGGTCTTTTCCCTTCTACCTTGCCCACCACAATCAATCTTTCAAGGTTGTCTGGTGGCCGCCGAGCAACATGACCAAAATAACCAAGAACTTTCTGGTGCCCCCTAAGAGCTAGAGGTTCCACCCGTTTTGTGCGGGGAGAGACCCAGACGTGGGGCGGCGCCATCAAAGCGGGCTCTCGGCCCGCTGAACGAGGAAACCGGTGGTCGTGTCGCTGGCGGCCGCCGGTCCGGCGTCCGTGGGACGGTGGGATGGATGTAATGTGCTCTGCGTCAACCCTGTCCCGCCGTTTCAATAGCCCCGACTGGGCTCCGGCCCGGTCCGACGTAGGGCGCCGGTTGTGTGCGGCAGGAGTTTTTAGTGAGGTTCAACTCCCACATACCCCACCTGCGGCGCGGGTGGGGATCCAGCGATTTTCTCCTGTGGAAAAAAAAAAAAAAAGAGCCTTCTGGTAGCAAATCGCCGACAGTCTCGTTTCTGTACGAAGTTGCTATATTCCTGCGTTACAATATCAGACAATTGCAATTAATTATCCATCAATTATTGCGGAATTATTCGACGCAACACGTTTTAAATAACTGAACGATTATCGACTTTATTCCATTTGAGATGCTACCATGAAACGCTTTAGCTGTCTCGTTATTAATATTTTTTTAATCGCATCAACCACGGTATCGTGTCTTGTTACCAATCAGATAAGCTCTCGGGAAACCGTAACGGAAGAATCGGTGAGGGAAGTGGCTAAAGATTCAGGTGATGGGATAAAAGTAGACGATAAAAGTCAGATATATAACGATGTGATACAATCCTTGAAGAATCAAAACTGGACGGACGAGGAACAGCTATGTGTGGAACAGATTAATCGAATGGTTCGAGGACTCCAGAACTTCACACTTTGGGCTGTTTGGGGTATGTAACTAAATACTAAATAGAGACAGGAATAGTGATGAGCAAAGCAAGAACTGGTGGTTGGACCTCTTGTGAGTCCGCACGGGTAGGTACCACCACCCCGCCTATTTCGGCCGTGAAGCAGTAATGCGTTTCGGTTTGAAGGGCGGAGCAGCCGTTGTAACTATACTGAGACCTTAGAACTTATATCTCAAGGTAAGTATTATTTTTTTTAATTGCTTAGATGGGTGGACGAGCTCACAACCCACCTGGTGTTAAATGGTTACTGGAGCCCATAGACATCTACAACGTAACCATAATATATTTACATACATTTAACCATAATATATTTAACCAGGTGGGCTGTGACCTCGTCCACCCAAATAAGCAATGAAAAAAAAAAAAAACTTTTCGGTCTAGGTTTTGCTTATTTAGTCTTGGTCCTGATCTTACGTATTCAGGCTTCGTATTAATTGTTTGATCTGATACTTCGTATTACTTACATCAGTTTTTCTAAACATATTTTAACCGTTTTTTAGAAGCTTAAATTGGGAATAATTCACAGTCAACATTTAACTAATAAAATGATTAATTTTATTGCAAACCAAAACCAAAACAAATCACTTACCAAACCATTCAGTAATTTTCATATATTTTTATAACATAATACTTATCACTTGATGTATGTATTTATATTTATTAATTGATGCCCATGAATTAATGCATAATGACCATCGAACCAACTCCTTATTCAAGAACATTTTTGTAACAGCCTATTTTTCAAACAGTGGTAAGGTTTTCTTTGTTTTAATCTTCGATCAACAATAGTAACTAGATAAAGGGACACGTACAAAATCGAAGCAAAAACTGTCCGCGTGAATATACGCATACATAGCTACGTTGGTTTACAACAAACGGAGCAAAAAGTTTTGAAACAGTTTTAAGTTCAAACTAATTACAACTATGCCACCTAGTAATAAAGTTCCAAATCTCCAAAACATTATCTAATACTTACGATCATTCGTCACAAAGCAATAAATTACTCCTGTCACTTACAAATGAAAAGGCATACATTAAACAACCTTTAATGTTAAATGAACCTTATGCGCCAACTAATAAAGTAATTTTTCCCGTTATAGCTTTGAGAACTAACATCGTTTTGTTTTATTTATTTTTGCTTCTTGAAATTTCAATTTCTATTTACTACAGGAAAATAAGAGCTCACATTTCAAGTGCGCTGTTATTTAACGAGACGGATTTTTGCGCCGACCCGAAATCTAGTTACTATTGTTGATCGAAGGTTTTAATATTCAGTATTGAAATCTAATGACGTAAATTGGTAATTTCAAATACAAAAAGTATTTAGTTCCACGAAAAGAATCATAGGTATGTTTAAGTTATGACAAATATATTCTAACTCTTAATTTAAATGAATTTTGTTTTTGGTTAGTTTCCCACATTTCATTTTGGTTTTATTTTGCACAACACAAAGAACAAGTCCAATTTTACTCATCTTTAGACATGAATACAATTCACAAAGCATTTTACTTTATTTTAAATCTAAAAATGTCTTTGATTTTTTATTCTTTTGCGGCTCATAGACAAAATTAAAACTACTTAGGTATACGGTGTTTTTTCCCGTGAGACTAAATGTCTTCTATTTAAAAAAAGTATTAAAATATGAAATTACTTCGAAGTAAAAACGTATTTATTATAAAATACGCACGTTATTAACATTTATCCATAAACTGTGGATTAAATTACCAATACATTGTTTTTTTTTTTCATCTTTATGTGTCAATTTCAGTATGGGACACCCAAACATCGGAACCACAAGGTCAACTATTCGCAAATAAGTATCAATTAGGAAATTTCGATCAGTGCATGAACGCTCCATGGACGGATTCGCACGACGATTTGCACATGAAATACTGCCTCGTTGACATCGTTCTAGAGAGGCCAGATAATGGCCACAAGCAGAAGCTGAACAAACCGTTCTCCCCTTATCAGTCAGCTATAGATTTTATAGAGGTATGATGCTAATATTACTGACTTAATTAATAACATTAGTATATATAGCCTTCGTACATAAGTCGTTATTTATAAATCTCGGATACGTTCGCAAAACTTTGTACAATAATAATGAATTTCAAAAAATTGAATACCGTTTTTAATCTCCATTTTAATAGGTTGTTCGGAAAGTAATTTCGTTTTTTCCCGATAGAGGATTTAATTGTATTTTTTGCACCCAACTTCACATTTAAGCCGTATACTTTTATATGCTTTGAGAGCTCATATAGCAAGGATTGTTTGGGAAAAGTCCCAAATAATTCTACGCAGTAGTTTTTGGTTGGTGCCGTTTTAAATATGGAAGCGATAAGCAGCATTTTTGACATATCCTATAATTTTAATACAGAAAGGGTATAAATGCTGTTCAAGGCAGAAATAAATTGACCGATGTGTATGGAGGTGTGTTGACAGTACGCCAGTGCCAGAACTGGTTCGCTAAATTTCGATCCGGCAATTTTGATGTCGAAGATGCACCAGGTTCGGGAAGGCCGGTTGAAGCTGATAAAGACGCGATACAACCCAATATATTAACGTGATTAGGTAGATGATCTTTCTCATGTCCCGCCCATACCCATAGATGCCGCGACGTAAACAGCATTGTGTTTTCTATTTTCTCTTGTGCTTTGGGTGCATGGAGATAAATGTGACAAAAACGAGCACATTCAGAGAGCATGCTGTGCACACATATCAAATCTTCATAATATTAGCACTAACCTTAATAGTCATGACATGGTTAGGACCATTAGATGACTAGACCAATGAGATAATTAAAACATCAGAAGGAAAAAACCGAAAGGCGTAATTGCTTTAAGCGGAATAGGCAGGATAGTGGTTCTAATATGTCCCAATATGTCCACATATATCTATATGTCACAATATGTCCCAATACCACTCAAACTAGACAACGTTGGCTAATTTCCCTATTCAAAAACCTTGTTTTGTTCAATTTGATAAAAGTTGACACTTCAAAAGTGCGCTTTTCCCTTGGTAGCGTAGAGAATGAAAATATATAACATTTGTACTGGTGGTACGACCTCTTGTGAGTCCGCACGGGTAGGTACCACCGCCCTGCCTATTTCTGCCGTGAAGCAGTAATGCGTTTCGGTTTGAAGGGTGGGGCAGCCGTTGTGACAATACTGAGACCTTAGAACTATATCTCAAGGTGTGTGGCGCATTTACGTTGTAGATGTCTATGGGCTCCAGTAACCACTTAACACCAGGTGGGCTGTGAGCTCGTCCACATACCTAAGCAATAAAATAAAAAAAATTGTTGCACCACCACAATACGACATTATTATTCAGTGACTCCAACTTAGAACATAACAAGGTTGATTTAATTGATGCCACAATCAGAGAGCTGCGAACACGATAGGAAATTGTCAGTCACGCTAACATTTCTCATTCAACAACCTTTGTCTTTGTTATGATGATATTTTATTTTCTGTCAGTGTAAATTCTACAAATGATATTCATAGTAGCTGGAAACATAATTGCTTGTAACAAATTTTAATGCAAAAAAATATATATTTATTAACTAAGTATATTATTTCTTGAATCACTCATCTTGAGTAATCATAAAAATTCTTAATTAGTAATGCAAAAATCTACCGTTTATTTGATCATGACAACGTTTTCCGGATTGTCCCTTCTTCAAGCTCATCCACAAGATTCTTTATTTATTAGACTAGGTGTACTCTGCGGATTTAGCTTTTTTTATTGCTTAGATGGATGGACGAGCTCACAGCCCACCTGGTGTTAAGTGGTTATTGGAACCCATAGACATCTACAACGTAAATGCGACACTAACCTCGAGATATAAGTTCTAAGGTCTCAGTATGGTTACAACGGCTACCCCACCCTTCGAACCGAAACGCATTACTGCTTCACGGCGGAAAAAATAGGCGGGATGGTGGTACCTACCCGCGCGGACTCCCAAGAGGTCCTACCAGCTTTTTCTTTTTTTTAACAGATATAATTATGGTATGTATGTATATATGTCTGTTGGATAGGTACAGTATTTTCTTCGGTTTTCGTCAGTCGTAGAAATAATTATAGCTTATTTCGGTTTCACCTCGCATTTATTAATTGCGAAAATACGAATACTTTATAGTTTTTGAGGTGAAATAATAAGTTTTTTTTAAATTTTTTTATGTCAATTATTTTTTAATTCAAGAAGCCATTCCCGTAGTCGACTTGATAATTACCGTAATTTAACGTGATAATAGATATTAATTTATTTGAATTTGTTCTTGTCGGATTGGTCAGGTCATTCAACATTCCCCTGAAACTGTCAATTCCGCAAATCAATTGCTTTATATGAATGTAGTTACACTGTGTACTGATAGAAAACATTTTAAAAGAATTACTTTTTGAATGTGATTTTTATTTAGTGCCATTGTGTTAAGTACACACATATGTGTTTACTGGTGATAGGACGTCTTCTAATACAAATACGGAGAAGTGCCATAATACTGCCTATTTCTGCTGCAAAGCAGTCATGCGTTTCGGTTTGAAGAGTAAGAAATCAGTTAACTATACAAAATAGTTGAGACTACGTGAGATCTCGCGTCTCAAGGTAGGTAGCGAGATTGCCCCGTTATCTCTAACTGGGATATTCAAAACATCTCAATTTTTTTTATTTTTTTTTAGTATCACCCTCCCCACACGCGTCCTCTTAACGAGTTAACATGGGGAGTTTGCACTCCAGTTTCCTGTCTGCCCAGCACGATTGAGAAATTGATGGCCGTGATGCTGGCAAGAAGTCATCTCGGTGCAGCCGGTCTGAAAGCGAGGATTGCAGTTAATGAAAAATGTCAAACCAATGAAGATCAGAGTTACGATGGATTGTTTCATTCTTTTGTGTGAGTGCTCTTACATTAACTTTTCGCTTTAGCATATCATATTTAGAAAACGGACCGCGTATCTTCAATTTAGGACTCGCATTTATGGTTTGTGTTCCTTAAACCAGTGGAAGCTCGATCGGAGATACGTGTCCGCCCAACTGCATACAGCAATTGAATATGCAATTTCGAAAAGGGCACATCTCTAAAAATGTTAAATGTTAAAGAAATGAAAAAAAAAACTGATTGTTTTCTAAAGTAGTGTAAATTTTAAAGTATTAACTTTCGAGAAGTATTTTAGTGTTAATTAGCAATTGAAAATTACTGGAATTATTATAAAACGGGTGTAGGTAAGCCTCAAAACTACATGTATATGAAGAAACGATTTGACAAAATATGAGACATGTGCCATTTTCGAAATTGCTAATTTAATTGAATAATTGAAACTATCATAATTCGGATAAACGGTCAACAAATTGGTTTGGTCTGAGTTGAATCTTTTCTTTCAGGATTTTAATGGGCTCCTTAATTTCGATTTGCTTAGTGTGCACTTATTACAACTGTACAAGGCAACTTGAATCTAATTCAGCAAGTAAGTGTGCAATAATTTACATTCGATCCCGTAATCAAGTAACAATAGTAAAATTAAAAAAACAGTGAAAAGTTTGTGTGTTAACTTTATATTTCAGTGCAGCTACCATTATTTACTATACACAACCTTTGGTTGATTGGTAGAGAACGTCTTACAATGTCCGCTAGTGTAAATAAATACATAAGGTGTAATAAATAAATAAAACAATAATAAGATTTGCTTACTAGCCTAAGTTAAGGTAAACTAAGAAATCTAGCACAAATACTTGCCAGTACAGTTTATATTTTAATAATTTTACATTATAATAATAATTTTACACGTGTACTTAATATTTCCATAAGCATACACATGCTTTTTTTGTTTTCCCTATTCGTAAATCTAAGATCAATTCGAGTTTTCAGGTTCAAATTTAATCAGAGCGTTTTGCATGAACGAAAACGCTTCTGACCTATTGAAAATGAGAAAAGACGGATCTGAAGTAATTTACGGAATCAAATGGCTAACGATGTGCTTGATAGTTGTGGATCATCAAATCGGTATTGGTAATGCGGGTCCCATCAGCAACGGACTGACCTCAGATAATGTAAGATATAATTTTTAAGAAACTTAACAGCTGTAAAACGCGAAACATCTCACGACTTATTACTTAAAGTTTTTAAGCTCTAATATTGTTAGTATTTACAGCTTTAGCCTAGCAACAACACGAAATATGACAGTTTTTCCAAACCTAAGCTTTATATACTATACCATACTTACTAAGCTTTAAAAAATAGATAACATACAAAAATGGGTGAAATCCATAACTTGAATTAGGTAATAAATTTTTGTTTGCTAACTGTACGTGCTCTTACGCCTACATTGACGCGTATACAGATTGGTCACTCACACAACTAAGGGCGGCACACAGTCATACTTTGCAACAACTATACTAGATGCTAGAGAAACCAGGATAAAAAATGTATTATAATTTTGATTGGCTATTAAAGCATATTTTTAAATTTCTTCTTTAAATTTTGTTTTTATTTTAATTTTTTCAATGAATTTATGTTTTTATTCTTGACAGATAATTCAATCTTTTTTGGGACTATTTATTCTACACGACGATTTATTTGTGGATACGTTTTTTCTTTTATCTGGCTTCCTAACTATTTCGTCTTTCGCATCACTGAAAAAGCTGCCGAACCCGCTTATAGTGATCTTGAGAAGATATATCAGGTATTCTAATATGTAAATAAATAATTAAATAACTGAGAACAAATCACGCTCGGTCATCCGGCCCTGAAATTAGGATTTGCTGCGTTATATGTACAAGAGACTGACGCACATACTTGTATAAGTTTAAATATAAACATATATACATAGGAAACACCGAAACGAGGACACCGAGAGGGCTCTATGAGCTCCGGTAACCACTTAACACCAGGCGGGTCGTGAGCTCGCCCACCCACTTAAGCAATAAGTAAAAATAAAAGACAAAGAGCAAACACATCCGTTGTGGGAATCGAACCCACGACCCTTAGCGCAACAGTCAGAGTCGCTAGCTATTGCACCACCGAGTCAATGTGCGGGTGGTTATTGCTTAAACGAATGAACATGCTCACCACCTACCCGGTGGTAAGTGGTTACCCATAGACATCACACCATGAATGCAGGGCACCTCGAATCACATGATTGGAGTCTCATTTCATCTCATCATCTTGCATCATGGGTAAGCAGCGGATTGACTCTGCCCCTGGTATTGCGGAAGTCCGTGGGCGACGGTAACCATAACTAAGTAACTCACCATCAAGTGGGCCTTATGGTCGTCTGCCCACAAAAATCAATAAAAAAAGGCATAGACAGATGAACACGCCGAGGACCCGATTTTTGAGGGCTTGATTTTTATTACAGGATGCTATTACCTTATCATGTAAAACTTTGTGAACAGGACGTAATTGTGTATATAATTAGAAATCATGGATTTGAACAGCGGCAAGGTCGCATCGCTCTATATGACTGCAACAGACATTCTTATCCTTTGAGCCATGACGACTTCAAAATTTCAATATCTCGATAATTTTTTTAAACAACAACAATGTTATGCTTGCAAGTGGAAGCTGTCTTAAGTAAAAAAAAAACGCAGCATGTATAAAATATATGCACCGTACAAAAATGTATTATTCTTATTAAAAACGAAAATTTGATGTTATTATAAATCAAATCATCAAATATATTGGAATTTGGCAGTATTTCAATAAAACTCTAATCAGATTTCTTATAAAGGACACAATGAAATTATATTTGCTCTCAAGACACATCAGAATACACGAGCACAGTTGCACAGATTACACACATCAATTAGAATAATCTGTATCAAAACGCTTACAAATACTTATATTATGATCTACTATATACATTTACTAGCGACCCGCCCTCGCTTCGCTTCGGAAACTGTAATTTATTATTGATTTCTCCACTATTTAATGGATGTTATTATACATATAAATCTTCCTCTTTAATCACTCTATCTATTAAAAAAAACCGCATCAAAATCCGTTGCGTAGTTTTAAAGATTTAAGCATACATAGGGACAGACAGATATTTTTTTTTTTTGCTCAGGAGGAAATCGCCGGACTTTCGCCCTCCCCTGGGGTTGCAGGGCGGGGCATGTCGGAGTCGAACTGACTAAAACCTCCTGTCGCTCAACAACCCGCGTCCGAACCTCGCATGAGACAGAACCCATGCAAAGGCAAAGGGGGGAGAGTGAAGCGCTTAGTGCGGAGCACATCTCTCCCATCTCCCTCCCCCTGACAGACAGATATAGGGACAGAGAAAGCGACTTTGTTTTATACTATGTAGTCATTTATTCAACAAAATAGGCATAGGCATCACAATTTGGAATCTCTCATTGTTAGTCGAAAGTCGATTTGTAAACTGAACTATTGTATTGCAGGCTCGTAGCAGCACTTTCAGTGGTAGTGTTCTATGTTTCTGCTGTATATCCTTACACCGGCACCGGCCCATTGTGGAACAAAGCAATCACTGCTGAAACAGAAGCATGCCGTAAGAACTGGTGGCTTAATCTACTCATGATCAGCAATTATGTTGACACCGAAAATATTGTGAGTCACATATTATACACTTAAATGTAACTAGATGATGACCGAGCTTTGCTCGTCTTTTTTTTTCTTTCATAACACTGTCTTGTTGTGTCTTTTAAGCGGTTAGTTGCCCTCAATTAAGAAAAATAGTATTATTATTCGCCAATAGATGTCGGGAAGAGTAAAAGTTGATTATCGATATAATTGATTATTGAAAACACCAATAAAACAACATAAATCGTAGCTAGATCGATTTATCGCCCCCGAAATCCCCTGTATACTAAATTTTATGAAAATCGTTGGAGCCGTTTCCTTGATTCAAGAATTGCTCGTTTAAAAGGTATAAGATTAATTTTGTCTTTATTGCCTTAGTAGGCAGACGAGCATACGGCACACCTGATGAACGAAGTTCGCATTGTAACATTTGGTCGAGTCTTTACTAGGTAATGATCCTGATCAATGTCCGCGCGGATAAATCCCGGAAACGGATTTTTCTTTAAATTATTCTGCAATCCGGACCTGAATGTAGTTTCATATAGGAAATGCAAGAACGATTCAACATTAAACTTTAATAAACACAAGTAAAGTTTTGTTTATTATTTTTGTTTCGACATTTTTCAGTCGATTTTCTTGGACTTGTCTGCCTTCCGCTCTGTGACGACATACCTATTGTTCTAAGAAGATATTAATTAATATGACATTCTTTTTTTTTTAAGCAGTACGTGGCAGATATCCATTTATTAAGCATAAACAAATTAAAAAAAATCGTTTCAGTGCATCGTAATATCCTGGTACATTCCGTGCGACTTCCACTTTTTCTTGGTCACAATTATTGGATTTTTTTTATACAAGAAGTACCCGAAAATAGGCGTTATCACCGGAGGAGTATTATTTGCGGTCGCACTATTGATACCGGGCATCATGACGTACATGTACCAGTTGGCTGCAGTACAACTGTTTACTATTGAGTGAGTTACCAGCTATACCTATATGTATTATTTAAGGAGCGCATTTTTTAAATAGTAAAAGGAATAATAAATAAAAATCAAGTAATTCCAAATCGACTTTCCCAAACGTGTGCTGTAAATCCGGTTTAAATTGTTTACTTCTTTTTCTTTTTCCTACCTATGCTGATAGCCTTGAGAGGCTATTTCAGCTTCTCCTTGACGTATAGGTAAGCTCACGGGGTTCAAACCGGGAGTGTTGCTAACACTGGCCCTAGCAAGAGCAGTGCTTCGCAGAATTTACCACTGGGTCGGAAACGCGACCCACTGAGAAGATTCGGTGAGAAACTCAATGGGCTGTGTCTGTGGGTTAATTTACTGGCCGAACCCTTCGTCGCAAGCGACGGGTTCGACAAGAACGATGACCGGAGCTTGGGGTACCTAAAAGCACCTTTAGTGAATCGAGAGGATCCCAAATAACGTGTTTTGGGTGACGTCGACTATTTACTATCTGGTCCGCAGGATCAGTTGTGTAGTTTCGGGCGGCCACTACGAGAGGATTCTCGTGTCGTGCCGCTTTATCGAAGTGGCGCATTTTTGCCGACTGTTGATACTTACTGGTGAACTCTAGGTCTAGGTCGTCATGCAGGTCGATGTTCCTCGTAGGACAGATGTTAGCAAATTCTTACAGACTTCCACATGAGTTTAGTTCGCACACTAGTCAAAGTAAAGCCAGTATAGCCCCCTGACGATTTTGACAGATAGGTAGATAGGCAATATAAATAAATAAATAAAACATATAAAGAACTACAGGGAACCGATAAAAAATTCTTAAAAGTTACAGGTACACATTTGGGATATAGTAACGGCGAATGTGGTATCTATCACTTTTGAATTTCACATATTTTGAAAGGAGGATATCACCAAGTATATCTATTAATATTTGCATTTGTAAGTCGGAGTAAGGTTTATGGAAAAAAACAGCTTTGTTTCCCACGTCAATGACGCGTTTCTGATCTCGATCGAGTTTGCGTGACTTCCCTTCATTGTTTCATTATTTCTCAATTTTATAAATGTTTAGTCCGTGCACTAAACAGGTTAAGATTATGACACATGTAATTAGCTGATTGATGAATCATTATTAACGTAACAGATTGTAACATAGCAGAATTTCCACGCTACCGAAAAAAATATTTTAGCTTGTTATTTAGAAACAGATATATAAATGTCAGGATTATACTTAATTATATAGTGTTGCCTAGTACCATCAGTGACATCTTTAGGATCAGATAACCACTTAACACCAGACGGGCCGTTAGCTCGTTAACCGATTTAGGCATTAAAACTTTCTCAAATTTCCAACATTTTTTGTAAATTTCACATATAAATTATTCATAAGTATTTCGAGTAATGCGACTTTTGTTTGAACCTAACTGGACCTGAAATTCCAAAAAAAAAATCGTATAGAAATTGAAAAATATTTACATCAAACTGACCCATTGTAACGCTCTTAATCATTGATTTTATAAATATTTATTTTTATTTTCTGCGGATGAATAAATCAATAAAAACATTCTATTCTATGGAATCAGTAGTGCATTGTATTATTCAAGCTGCGCGGTGTTGTTTTTTGATTTTACAAACGACCTAAGCGTGTAGAGACGTTGAATTGTAAATGTCATGTGTTTTTTTCCTACTTATTCGCCGGTAGCCCAAGGGGCTAATTCCAGCTATGCCCGGACGGGTAGGTGAGCTCACGGGCTCAACCTCAGAGAATTTGCTAACACTAGCCCTAGCGATAGCAGTGCTTCGCTGAATCACATGTACGACTAAAAGAGCCTTATAAAATACTAAAAGTAATTATGAACTAATAATAAAACCCAGAAAGTAGAATAATAAGACGCGGAAGTGACATTGGATTGGTCACACTTTGAGAATACCCACCTATCAAAGAGAGCACTGACCTGGTAAGTGTTTGGCAAAAGGAAGAGAGGCCGCCCCAGAACAACTTGGCGTCGCTCGGTGGAGCAGGAGCTAGGGGTCTTGGGCATGACGTGGGAGGAGTTAGAACAGACTTTTTACTGGTGGTAGGACTTCTTGTGAGTCCGCGCGGGTGGGTACCACCGCCCTGCCTATTTCTGCCGTGAAGCAGTAATGCGTTTCGGTTTGAAGGGTGGGGCAGCCGTTGTAACTATACTGAGACCTTAGAACTTGTATCTCATGGGTGGGTGGCGCATTTGCGTTGTGGATGTCTATGGGCTCCAGTAACCACTTAACACCAGGTGGGCTGTGAGCTCGTCCACCCATCTAAGCAATAAACAAAAAAAAAATACCGATATAAATGGAAAAATTTGATTCGAGCCCTACACCCCAGCAGAGGGTAATAGGAAAGAATGATGATGATGATGAATAATAAAACCCCCAGGTTTGTGATGAACCCACGCGCGAATGAAGATTTCCATCTGCTGTACATCAAGAGTCACGCGCGTTTCGCTTCATATCTCGTCGGCGTATTCGGTGGATTTATCTTCGTGAAATACAAAGCCGAAGGCAAACTAAGTACCATATCGAAGGTAGGATTTTGAATCAATTATCTTTAAATTTGTCATGTACTTACTACTAAATATTCTCATAAGGTTCATTGGTATCGCAGAATACTGTGAAATGCATTTGAGGCAACTAAAATGCGCTCTGTATTTTAACCGGCTTTTGTTGCTTGTTTTTTTATTCATTTTTATTACCTTTGTAGGCAGGCGAGCATACGGCCCACCTGATGGTGAGTGGTTACCGTCGCCCATAGACTTCAGCAATGCCAGGGGTAGAGCCAAGCCGCTGCCTACCCTTAAGTACTCTCCAGAAGCTTCGTTTGAAGAAGGACATGTCATAGCGCTCGGGAAACATCGTGGAGGGAAGCTCATTCCAAAGCTGGATAGTACGTAGCAAAAAGATCTCTGGAAACGCACTGTGGATTAACACAGTGGCTCCATGAAACTGGTGGCAGGCGGTGCCATCGTTAAAACGAGATGATAGGATCATCTCACACAATTCCTCAGAGTACACTGATACAATATCTATTATGATCTCTAATATCCGGACCAGTATCAACAGGATAAAATGGATTGTTAGTTCGATTTGCCATTTAAGGGTATATTTTTAGTCTTTAATTTAAATAGGCTTAGGCATAGGATTCAATAACACAAATGCCGCCACCCACCTTAAAACATACGGTCTGAGTCTGAGTTCTATAGTCGGCTCACTATCGACATTGACTCAAAAACTCCAAATATTTGACTCTATTGCTCATCGTGATGTCGTTGTCCTTGTAATCGTAATAATTATAATAATACGCCCAAACCAGACTAATAGCTATAGTTCAAGCGAACAATAACATTATTTTCTAACTGTCGCCGTGGCCTAAAGAAAGATAAGACGTCCGGTGCATTCGTATCTAGCGAAGCACCGGTGTTCGAATCCCGCTGGCAATTTTTACCTACCGATTTTTCTAATGAATTACGTACTTAACAAATGTTCACGATTGACTTCCACGGTGAAGGAATAAACATCTTGTAGTAAAAATCAAACCCGTAAAATTATAATTTGCATAATTACTGGTGATAGGACCTCTTGTAAGCCCGCACCGCCACCCTGCCTATTTCTGTCGTGAAGCAGTAATGCGTTTCGGTTTGAAAGGTAGGGCAGCTGTTGAACTGTAAAAACTGAGACCTAAGAATTTATATCTCAAGGTAGGTGGCGGCATTTACGTTGTAAATGTCTATGGATTTCGGTAACCACTTAACACCAGATAATAAAAAAAAATGAATTTAACGTTCGCTTTACAGAAATGGTCTGCCTTCGGTACAATAGCAGCGCTCACCTTGATGCTGGCTGTGATGATGTATGGTAGTACATTTATCTGGCGCGAATACCAGCCGTTAGAGAGCGCAATATATGCTGCATTCAACAGACCGGTCTGGGCGTTTGGAGTAGGATTACTCGTTATGTGTTGTTCGTTTGGACAGTTGCGTAAGTTTCCTGAAAGCAGACACATTTTTTTATGTGAAACATCTATAGCCGCACGTAAAACCGATTTAGGGCGTGGCGACGCATTCCGTGGCGACGCGTCGCCATGCGCAATCGACTGTGCGATTCTCTTCCACTCGATCCGGCGTTGAGCCATCTCTCTCGCTGCACTGAGATCGGATACTTATAGTGTATACTCCGTAGTGTATACAGTGTTGTTTACTACAGTACACATATTACCTGTGTTTTACTTGAAAACAAATTATTTTTTCGTAATATTTTATTTTATCATTATGACATATTTAGTTGCTATCACAACCTGTTCTTTTCTGCATATTACTTTTACAAAATAATGTCGATGTTTCACATCTGCCAGGCGTCCCGTGACGGCTCACATGTTTTTTTTTGCTCTGTTACCGTGTAATAATACTGGCAAACGACATTCAGTTTGTCATTGACAATTCTGAACACTAAATTGTTTATTTTATGTGCAGTATACATAAACCGTGTTCGTATGGTAAACGTTTCTTCAAATGGAAATTAAACTTTAACCTTGTTTAATATTAAGAGTTATTCTTTACGCCGTAAAATTTCGAGAAGACATGTAAGGTAAATAAGGTAAGATAGGTAACGACAGGCAGTGACTCGGCTTTGACCTGTGTGGTTAGTGCGAGTTTTTTTTTTTTAACGTTCTCGATAGCGTAAAAGTTAACTCAATTTTGTATGCAGTTGGAACAGCGCCCCTAGCGGCAAACGTAGGCAAACGATCCCATTCCATACAAATGTGAGCTAACTTTTACGCTATCGAGAACTAACTCGGACTAAGCACACTGAGCATCGCCGCGCCGCTCCGGTGTGGGTAAAATAAAAGCCGCGCCCGGGCGTTCGTTGATCCGAGCCTCAGCTGTTTCTGATTTTGTGTTTCATTGCTGGTTTTTGTTAAAGTAAAGTATTTTTTTTTTAAATCAGGATCGATTTTTTTTTCGTCTCATCATCAAAGGTATCATTAGTATCATCGTCTGTCTTCCTTTTCGGAAGTGGTCTCCTAACACCCAGTATAAAGGAATCGTTACTTTTATTATCGCTTAGACAAGTGAAAGAGCTCACGACCTATTTGATGTTAAGTGTATACCAAAGGCCATGGTTATGAACAACGCATATGAACACGGCTTAATCACGACTTTTTTTTAATGTTTTTATCCGACGTTTCGATAACTTTACTTTTTTCGTGGTCGAAGATGACTGAGGCCATAATGATCGTCATATAAAGAATATACGTCCATTAATATAATCTATATATGAATACGTGAAGCAAAAACTTTGTATCCCTTTTTACGAAAATTGCGCGGACGGAGCAGTAATTTTAAATAAGCGATAAATTTACATTTTTATTTTGTTTCAGAAATAGTGAAAAGTTTCCTCTCCTGGTACCCGTTCGTCCCCCTCAGTCGGCTAACGTATGGCCTCTATCTAACTCACACCATCATAATTATGCGAAACGTCTTTGTCACCAGGAATCCACGGCACAACGATTATTTTGAAATCGTAAGTTATTATTATCACAAAGCACGCCAACTTAGATGCGAACGCATACCTTGCATTTTGCCACCATGCCACCGTATTCCCGACTTTTTCATCCACTAAAGCAAATCTATTTACATTATATGACTACATTCGCGATATTTTGTTTTAGTCGTCGTGGCCTAAAGTATAAGACGTCCGGTGCATTCGTATCTTGCGATGCATCGGTGTTCGAATCCCGCTGTCAAGTACCAATTATTTCTAATGAAATACGTACTAATCAAATGTTCACGATTGACTTCCACGGTGAAGAAATAACATCGTGTAGTAAAAATGAAATCCGCAAAATTGATACCTCTTGTGAGTCCGTACGCGTAGGTACCCTGCCTATTTTTGCCGTGAAGCGGTAATGTGTTTCGGTTTGAATGGTGGGGCAGACGTTATAACTATACCGAGACCTTAGAACTTATATCTCAAGGTAGATGACGGTATTTACGTTGTAGATATCTATGGGCTCCACTAACAACACCAGGTGGGCCTTGAGCTCGTCCACCCACCTAAGCAATAAATAAAAAAAATGAAAAGAATAACATCGTAAAATTATAAAAAATACCATACTCCTCCGCAGTTTTCAGGCATCCAGCTAACATTTTTTTTATGTAATGCTGTATAAAAATCAACGACAATTACAGACAATAATTAGAATTGGTTTAGTTTTGGAAGAGGAAACAGAAGAAAATCGAAATACACAACAAAATTGCTTCTCAAAAAGACGATCACACATCTCGGTGTGTCCGATACCTATAATATTTTTCATATTTATATTTCAGCTAAGCAGCTCAGCCGGTACCGTGTTTTGGGGAAGTATCTCCGCTTTACTTCTTTGGCTACTAGTAGAGGCACCTGTTAATAAATTATTCACCTTTTTAATCAGTTCAAAGTAAGTTATTCAACATTTGGTAAGTTTTTCTTATGTTGGGTTATAAAGAAAATTGATTTGCAATTCGTTAAGCATCTCCATTATTTCTGAAGAGGGAGTTTATTAATATATTTTTTAGTTCGTTCTTACTAGAGTAGAGTAGAGTTTTGACCTCTTGTGAGTCCGCGCGGGTAGGTTCCACCACCCTGCCTATTTCTGCCGTGAAGCAGTAATGCGTTTCAGTTTGAAGGGTGGGGCAGCCGTTGTAACTATACTGAGACCCTTAGAACTTATATCTCAAGGTGGGTGGCGCATTTACGTTGTAGATGTCTATGGGCTCCAGTAACCACTTAACACCAGGTGGGCTGTAAGCTCGTCCACCCATCTAAGCAATAAAAAAAAATAGAATTATTTATTCATATATATTCTATATACTAGTACTCCGATTATATGATGGACTTTTATCAAACTTGGTCATGTGCGACCTGCCAATTTTCTCTAGTCACTTTACTACTAATTACTAATTATATAAATGCGTATCAATTGTTGACGAAGCACATTTAAGATGCAAAACCCACATCGTGTTACAATGACTGCCTTTGTATTCGACGTCTATTACTTGTGAAAATAATTCATAGGCCCATTTTAGTCAACACACTTCTGGCCTATTTAGTTACCATCATAGGCAGATGATCATACAACTGAACTGCTTGTCTCAAAGATGTCAGTTACAGTGGAGACTTCAACCTCATTCCTAAACATGGCGGTGACACTCAATTTGTGACTTCAATAAGCTACGATGGTGTAGAATCAAGGGTCGGCAACCTGTTTGTCCTTAAGGGCGCCATACTAAATTTCAAAATCACCGAGGGCGCATATTTTACAGATAGTCAACAGGTATCACTAGGCATTAAAAAAACAGATTTTTATAACTTTATTTTGTTGGTGTCATACATAATGATACATATAATTCAGTGTGAAACTTGGGTGTCCATATTTTCAGCTAATTTCTTATAATTGGGGATATATTTAGAGTTCCCGGTCCTTAAACAATTATCTAAATGTGAGTCATTAAGCTTTGTTCGGTATTGAAAGAAAATAATAATTTCGGATTACTTAGTAGTTTTAAATGCACAGTCTATTCGAAATTAGTCCAGCGAGGGCGCATTAAAAATCGATCGGGGGCGCCGCGTTGCCGACCCCTGGTGTAAATGGTGATCTTACAAAATGTCTAATTGTCTAAAAAGATTATGGAGATTTTAGAATAAGATAAATGAAAAATAGATTAAAAAAAATATAGTGCAATATCTTAACTGATTAAATGCTCCCTACAATTTGGTTGACGAAAATATGACCTTATAAGTTTTCGTTTAAAGAAGAAGAAAAAGACACAACACTATTTGCTTTTGCAATGATTTCAATGTTAAATTATTCGTTTTACACTTAAATTATATAATGTTCCTAAATTAATAATTTCAGAATTAATATAGAAACTGTCGAAGAGAATCAACACCCGACACAATCGAATAACTCCACATCCGTTGAGATCAGCAACACTGGACACCTACGAGATAATTTACCGACAAGGATTCATTTCACATCTAAAATATAAATGTATTCAGTTAATACAATAAAACCAGCTTTAATTATTTTTATTTTTTGTTCTATTGTAAATGTAAATATCTTCTGTAAACAGATTTTAACTGTCTGAACCATAAATTCAAAATATTTTGAAATTGATTCGATAAGTATCGCGATAGATAAATCCAGACTTGAAGATAATCTCCGTCAGCAGATACGGCGTAGAGCAAAGCTAATCAAATTATAGTTGCCGATGTATACCTATATTTTTTTATTGCTATTTTATTATTTATTTCATTATTATTTGATTTGAGACGTTAAGTGATCACATCAATACCGTAAATGCCTACCAACCAATCTTAAGACATGAGTTCTAAGTCAGTTTGATAGTACAACGGCTGTACCTACCTTCAAGCCAGAATAATTTCGGCTTCACGACAGAAATAGACGGGCGGCGGTAAACAAGCAGTTTAAAAAATTGGTAACAGCGTCATCTATATGTCATTTGATGAACTTTTAGCAACAGCTTATTCACTCTTAAAAACCGAGTATTAAGGTGTGTAATAGTACCATATTAATTGTATAGATGTCACTAACCCAAATAATTTGAGTTTCAATTTTTCTACTGTCCAAATTTCTAAATAAAAACATTAAAAAACTTGCAGCATTGTGTTTTACAGAATTTACGTTTCAGTGATTCGTAGCAAGGCTTTTACTGTATTTTAAATTATAATCGGCTGTCGAAATTATGCTAACATTCTGTTGTACGACCTCACTGCCCGTTGTTAGATAATTTAGATTGTTTTAGATTCACAGTAGGTAGTTATCATCTATCTATATATTCATACGTGAAGCAAAAATTTTGTATCCCTTTTTACGAAAATTGCGCGGACGGAGGAGTATGAAATTTTCCACACTTATAGAGAATATAGAGAAGAAGTGCACAATGCTAATATTTTTTTTAAATAATGCATAAAAGATACATTAAATCAATAAAGAAAACATTACACACACTACATACCATGTATTTGACGCACACACGCATGCATACTATTTATTGTCAAACTTTTGTCTTGACGTCTGTGATCAAATTGAAAATAGATTAAATACAGTTGTATTGTTTGTCTTTATTAATATTTTTTATAGTGTAGTCTTGGCGAAATTTGTGATTATAGAAGTATAAAATACAATCATAATATTGTACAAACTTAAGATTCCAATTAATTATAGTCGAATTTCGACTACTGCGGGACCTCTAGTATCAGTAAATGTATCACTACTACGCAAAATTAAAAGTTTTCAAGCTTACTTTGTTTCTCTAGCTAATCGCTGGTAGACTAGGGGGATATTCCAGCGATTCCCGATTTGGTAGGTGAGCTCACGGGGTTCAGCCTGGAAGGGATTGCTAACACCAGCCCTCGCGTCATTTCGGATCCTCCCGATCCACTAACTGTGCTTTTAGGTACCTCAAGCACTGGTCATCGTTTTCGTCGAAGCCGTCGCTTGCGACGAAGGACTCGGCGAGTTAATTAACCCACAGACACAGCCCACTGAGTTTCTCGCCGGATCTTCTCAGTGGGTCGCGTTTGCGATCCGGTGATAGATTCTGCGCAGCACTGCTCTTGTTAGGTTTAGTGTTAGCAACGTCGTCAGGTTTGAGTCCCGTGAGCTCATTCACTTGTTAGGTTATGCTGACATAGTCTCTCAAGGCTATCAGCTTAGGTAGGTAAAAAAAAAAACTAGCCCTGGCAATAGCTGTACTCACTGAATCTACTATCGAATCGGAAACGCGACCCACTGAGAAGATCCGGCGAAAAGTCAGTGGGTATTCAATGCAGTCACAATATAATCGACAAACTTTTTTCACACTTCAAATTTTGTCATAATATTTTTTTATTCAAATTATAATTAAGAGCACCTAAGGTCATTAGGTACTACAGCGACTTATACGCGGTATTTCATTTATAAAATAATTCATAATTTTATTTGTGAAGAGCTACAATTCTCAGAGAAATAATTCGTTTTTAAATAACACGCGCATAAATTTATCGACTCTTTATTGCTTTTTGCTTGAAAATAAAAATTATTTGAAGTATCTTTGACTTAAATGTATGTACAATGTATGTTAGTACAAAAAGTATTTTTTATGGTTACTTAAATATGTGCAAAAAGTCTAACAATAACAACATGAATAACAATAACATAATAACAACAACAATAACAATACCAATAAGTCTAATTTAGGACCATTACCATAGATACCAACACCAAATGATTCAATATTATTTTATATTAAGCAGACCCAGAAAACGTTGTCTTGTACACACGTCTTAAATCCAAAAATTTCAAACTTTTACTATAAAATCTTTTTTTGTAGTGGACCGAATTGTGAATCTAAACCATTCTCATTGCTGAAGTCCATGGGCGACGGTAGCCACTCACCATCAGGTGGGCCGTATGCTAGTTGCTATGTATGCTTGGAAATAAAATAAAAAATCAAAAAGAAATCTTGAAGTTTCTCGCCGGATCTTCTCAGGGTGTCGCGTTTCCGATCCGGTGGTAGATTCTGCGAAACACGGCTCTTGCTAAGGTTCGTGTTAGCAAAATCGTCAGGTTTGAGCCCCGCGAGCTCACCTACTAGTTAAGGTTACGCTGATATGGTCTCTCTAGACCATTAGCTTAGGTATGCAAAAAAAAAAAAACCAAACCTTTGGTGTAGTGAAAACAACAATTGTACCAAACTTTATTGCAATCGGAAAGGCTTTGGGAACATCTAGAAGACCAATATTTTATTTTAAATTTATAAGATAGAAGATAGATAAGAACCAATTATAATTTAAAATTATTAGTTTTTAATCACCAAAATCTAAATATAATTTAAATATCGTCTTTTGTTTCGTATATTCTTATCTGATTGGAAATAAAATAAATACACTACAATATAATTAACCTTCTTAAAACTCACAAATTCTATACGATTTTTTCGTTCTATTCATATTCGTATTATAATCTGGTATCCATTTAACACTTCAGCAAACAACATTCAATGTCAATTAAACCCCAACATTGAAACAAATTTTTGAATGGATTTTTTTTTTCTCAAAATCCATGCATCTTATATATTACGTTTATTATTCGTTAATACGACGTTAATACGTTTTAGTTCGTTTTCCTTGGGTTAATTTTTTAAATTGCTAAAATGGGTAGATCGATTGGCGAGGGCCTGGGGGCTGATGTTAAGCAGTCATCAGAGTTCGTAGACACCGCAGCCTAAATGATGCTATTCTCCTTGAAGCATAGGATTGAAGCAAAAATTTTATTGATTACACCACTGTCTTATCGTAATAAATGTATCCTTCAACTTAATTGATCGTAAGCGGCAGAAATAAGGGAACGAGATCTTGGAACACATCTGTGAGAGTGTGCACTCATCTTTTTTATTTATTGCTTAGATGGGTGGCGAGCTCACAGCCCACCTGGTGTTAAATGGTTACTGGAGCCCACAGACATCTACGACGTAAATGCGCCACCCACCTTGAGATATAAGTTCTAAGGTTTCAAGTATAGTTACAACGGCTGCCCCACCCTTCAAGCCGAAACGCATTACCTACTGCTTCACGGCAGAAATAGGCAGGGTGGTGGTACCTACCCGCGCGGACTCACAAAAGGTCCTGCCACCAGTAATTACGCAAATTATAATATTGCGGGTTTGATTTTTATTATACGATGTTATTACTTCACCGTGGAAGTAAATCGTGATCATTTGTTGATTACATATTTCATTAGAAAAATTGGTTTGGAAAAATCGGCCTGAGGTTCGAACACTGGTGCATCGCTCAACACGAATGCACCGGACGTCTTATCTGTTAGGCCACGACGACTCATCTACCACCAGAACACCATATTCAATGTCTGTTTCGTACAAATCGGTTTGCAATTTGTTATTCAGTGAATGAATACACCCATCTAAAAACATATAAAAACAAAAAAACTTTAATCTTTCGGGTGATCATGCAAAAAATCTGTTTATATATATAAAAATAGAGGCAGCTTCAAATTATTTAAGATTAAACAATGAAACGTTACAGTCTTGTCGTTTGTTTATACATATTAGCTGAGGTAACGTGCCGGGTCACGAATCAAGTGAAAAATCCAAAGAATTTAACCCAGGGATATGTTGATTATAATGCAGCATCGAAAGATTTGATCGAGGTTATAGATAAGGAGGAAAAAGCAACTGAAAAGGGTCCTTTGTACCTCGAAGATGTATTGCTGTTGCTTGAACACAAAATTTGGACGGTGGATGAGCAACAATGTGTTAATCATATACATCACATGATTCAAGGACTCCGGAACTTCACGCTTTGGGCCGTATGGGGTAAGTATGTAAAGCGATACATGCAAGGAATAACATTGTCACTACATAGTATAAAACAAAGTCGCTTTCTCTGTCCCTATATCCCTATGTATGCTTAAATCTTTAAAACTACACATCGGATTTTGATGCGGTTTTTTTAATAGATATAGTGATTGAAGAGGAAGGTTTATATGTATAATAACATCCATTAAATAGTGGAGAAATCAATAGTAAATTACAGTTTCCGAAGCGAAGCGAGGGCGGGTCGCTAGTAACTCATATTTAGCTAAAACTGAGTTACAATGTTATTCCTTGGACCTGTTGATATATCCACAGGATATGGCTTGATATAATTAAATTGAAAGGCAGTCTAAAGCTTCTTCTTTCTCTTCATTTTCTACGGCTCACGCTTTTGCGGCGGCTATATCGAATGAGTTTCTTACGCCAGTAATAATCCTTGGGCTCAAGGCCAAGATGCTTGACGCGTCGTCAATGAGACATAGCCACATATTTGGATAAAAGGCCGCGAAATTTTCTCGAAAAGATCAGACCGACAGTGGCTGTAAACCAGATATTTTAAACCATACTTACGAGTAGTTCAACACGTGTACTTAATAATGCAATAAAATTATCACAGCCCGGAAATATCAAAAACTAGTTAGAGCTTTTTTATTTTTAAATTAAACAGTGCTATCTTGCTAAGATACCCTTTATAGAAATAAGTAGATAGATTTTACTTAACATGATCGATTGAATACCAATCATTTCATCTATATATATAAAAATGAATTTCTGTTCGTGAGTCTCGCTAAAACTCGAGAGCGGCTGGACCGATTTGGCTAATTTCGGTCTTGAATTATTTGCGGAAGTCCAGAGAAAGAAGAAGAGAAGTTTAAAAGGTAGATAAATATGAAAATGCTCGGAATTAAATAAAAATAAAAATTTTGTTTTCCCTTTAATGTGTCTCCCGTCGGACGGATTCCTTTTGTTTGTTTTACGTTTATTTTATACAACAGTTTAGGTATTTTATTTATCGATTGAGGTACTAGGAAGTCTGCCGGGGCAGCTAGTAACGCAATAAAAATATCACAGCCCGCGCATATAAAAAACTAGTTATAACTTTTCTTATTTAAATGTTAAGATACCCTTTATAGAAATTTACGTAACAAGATCGATTGAATACCAATCATTTCATGTGTTAGTAAAAATACAAATACACATTCAATATGTATCAGTTTTTGTAATATTTAACAGTACAAATTGATGTAATACGGATGCGACGTCATGGGGGCACACATAACCTAGCCGACCGATAGTAATCGCTACACGCCATGACATACCGAGAACAAAACCAATTTATGGTATCTCCATTAAAAACCCTCATACTTACAGAATGGGACTCCCAATCAACGGAGCCACTGGGCGTGCTATTCGGTAACAAGTATCAATTAGGGAATTACGACCAATGCATGAACCCTCCTTGGTCAGACTCTCGGACAGATTTACTGATGAAGTACTGCCTCGTTGACATCGTTCTCGAGACAGACCGGAAAAGCTATGAAGTCGACACCGCCTTTTCTCCTTACCAATCGGCATCAGATTTTTTAAGGGTACGACGATCTTTTATATATATATTTTTATTGCTTAGATGGGTGGATGATCTCACAGCCCACTAACTGTTAAGTAGTTATTGGAGCCGATAGACATCTACGATGTAAATGCGCCACCCACCTTGAGATATAAGTTCTAAGGTCTCAAGTATAGTTACAACGGCTGCCCCGCCCTTCAAACCGCAACGCATTACTGCTTCACGGCAGAAATAGGCAGAGTGATGGTACCTACCCGCGCGGACTCACAAGAGGTCCTGCCACCAGTAAAGTATTATCGATTGATTTAGTTTTTTTTGAATCAACTACCAAACCATTTCTTGTTATAACTTCACCTTCTAATGCCCGAGGTGACGGTCCGTTTCAAAAATGAGATTAAGAAATCTAGTGATAGATATATACCTACAGTCTTTAAGTGGAAATCTTTCGACTCTCTGAAATTACTCTATGTAATGTTTCTACTTCAACAATGCAAAAATGGTATCTGGCTATCGCCGATGCGCTTAACTCCAAGTGGGCTGTGAGCGGTCTTGGTACTTACTCATTATATCTATACACTATATCTCAGGGGCTCCCAAACTTATTTTGTCTACTGCCCACTTTGAGACTAAATTATTTTTAGCGCTCCCATTTTTTCAGTCGGTGTCTAAGAGGCCTAGATTAAATTACAAATCGCCTCCCAAGCCTCTACACAACGACCTCTTTTTTTTCTGGGTCTCTTACCGCCCCCCTTTAGGCCCGCAGCACCCACAAGGGGGCGTTATCGCCCACTTTGAGAAAGGCTGAAGTATATCTCAATAAAAATATAAACACAACTCGTTTTCAGAGCATCGCTGATACATCTCTATTTTACAGTACCAACCTCCTCATGCGCGTCCCCTTAATGAGTTACAATGGGGAGTTTGCATGCCTGCTTCCTGTCCACCCAGCACAATCGAGAAGCTGTTGGCTGCGATAGTATCACGGAGTCACCTTGGCACATCCGGTATCAATGCTAGCATTGCTATAACTAATGCATGTCAGACTAGTGGGAATCATAAGGAATTCGATGTTCTATTCTATTATTTCATGTAAGATATATTTAATTGACTAATTTGAGATATTTTGAGTGATATTTACTTTTCGTTAAATGTTGTCCTCGTAAATAGAAGGACAATTAAAAGTAAATGTTTATAATCAAATCACAATATGAAAGGTCGAGGCCAGCAATTACGCACATTATAATTTTGCGGGTATGATTTTTATTACACGATGTTATTCCTTCACCGTGGAAGTCAATCGTGAACAATTGCTTAGTACGTATTTCATTAGAAAAATTAGTATATACCCGCCTGGTTCATTCATACACCGGGGTATCGCTCGATACGAATGCACCGGACGTCTTATCTTTTAGACCACCACTACGACAGCGATACATCATCCTTAGGCTAAAAACAACGTAGAAGTTTATTGCAACACCACCTACTGTTCCATATTTTTTCTACTACACCAAATTAACATTTATGTGAAACAATTTGACAAAAATAATCCCAATTACAACTAAATTATTTCATTTCAGATGTACAGTGGGATTGTTAGCAGTCCTTTGCCTAGTGTGCACTTTTGTGTCTTGTTCCAAACAACTCAATTCTAATACAACAAGTAAGTCATCATGCGTCAATCATTATAAATATAATTCTAGTTTTGTTAATACCAATATGATTAACATTTTAATTCCAGTAACACAAGTGACAAAGGCGTTTTGTATGAAAGAAAATGCCTCTAACCTCTTTAAGATGAAAAAAGACGGCTTGGAAGCTATTTATGGAGTCAAATGGTTGACAATGTGTTTGATAGCTGTTGATCATCTGATAAGTATTGTTAATTCTGGTCCTATCAGCGATGGATATACTTCAGATCGAGTAAGATTTAGTTATATTATTATACTAGCTGACCCGGTAGACTTCGTAGTGCCTCAATCGATAAATAAAAGACCTAAACTTTTGTATACAATAAACTTAAAACAAACAAAAGGAATCCGTCCATTCATTTATCTACCTTTTAAACCTTCTCTGGACTTGTACAAATAATTTAAGACCAAAATTAGACAAATCGGTCCAGCCGTTCTCGAGTTTTAGCGAGACTAACGAACAGCAATTCATTTTTATATATATAGATTAAGATTATAATAATGCTGCATGCATACGGTACGGCATATATTCGTTTAAAATTGAGGCGACTGCCTTATGTCATTAGGTCGTTAATGTGTTATCTCGTAATACCACAGCACCACGTGAGCCGTGACATTGTGTGAATGTCTAGATGGATATCTAGATCAGATTTTCTCAAACTTTTTAGTCGCAGCACACTTTCGACGATTTCAAAAGTTGACGGCACACAAAGAACAAAAGATCAAGGGGTGAAGATTGAAGGTTGAAGCGATATTTCGCTACGCGATATTTATCTTTGTGATTAAAGGTCCATTTTATTTGGTTTTTAATTGAACTTCAACTATGTTTACCCCATTCAAAAAGCTGAATAAATTGTTTGTCAAGATATTTTTTCGAAATTTTAAACTTCAATGACTCTCCTGTAAAGTTGCAAAAATGTCGCTTAAACCAAATAAATACCTTTCACCCATCGATATAGTTTTTTGAAACAATTTTCTTGGTGGAAACCCTATACCTGTTAAATTAATTTCCTTTTGTGTTGACTATTCATGTCATGGTTATACCATTCAATAGTCAACATATTTTATATCATCATTTATTCACAAGTTTTTTTTTTTAAATTTAACCCTAAAAAAATCAACAATTATATTTTTTTTTACAGCATAAGTATATTTCTAAAATGGCGCCCCGCTTTAAGCTTATGTACGATATAATTCCCACGGCACTTGTTCAATCAAATTCATCCAGTAGGTTGAGAATCACTGAACTAGACCACAATAAAAAGTACATAGTTGTGTATTTTCCATGAAGTTTCGCATGTCCATGATAAGTGTAGCCACAACTTGTGTCATTTGCACGACAAATTTGAATAGATTTCACACAAATATTCAATAAATGAAAATAATTTATACAATAGGTAGTGTTTTATTCGGTTTTTGCGAGTCGATGAAATAATTAAAACTGCTTTTACGGTATTATCGCGCGTTTTTTAAATGTTATTATAAAAAGCAACGTTTTTTGATTAGACGATCGTAAGCATAATTACTCAAATGTGACCGTGACTGTCAGTCGTCCGTGACCATCAAAACTGCAACGCTGTTGGAAATAACACAACTCTACAAAAAAAAATTCATTCTTTGTCCTAACGTTTATACTAGGTTTCTCTGGTTAATTATTCACAAAAACAAAATTAAAATACCTTTCTTTGGTATAAAGTTTGCTTTTGTGATAGTTATTTATTTGAAGTCGTCGTGGCCTAAAGGATAAGACATCCGGTGCATTCGTATCGAGCGATGCACTGGTGTTCGAATCTCGCAGGCGGGTACCAATTTTTCTAATGAAATACGTACTCAACAAATGTTCACGATTGACTTCCACGGTGAAGGAATAACATCGTGCAATAAAAATCAAACCCGCAAAATTATAATTTGCGTAATTACTGGTGGTAGGACCTCTTGTGAGTCCGCACGGGTAGGTACCACCGCCCCGCCTATTTCTGCCGTGAAGCAGTAATGCGTTTCGGTTTGAAGGGTGGGGCAGCCGTTGTGACTATACTGAGACCTTAGAACTGTATCTCAAGGTGTGTGGCGCATTTACGTTGTAGATGTCTATGGGCTCCAGTAACCACTTAACACCAGGTGGGCTGTGAGCTCGTCCACACATCCAAGCAAAAAAAAAATTTAAAAAAATATAGTAATAATAATTTTCAATTTTTTTATAAATTTTAATTAATTTTAATACTTTCAAAAAGACCGCGCTATGAGAGTGGGGTGTTTACATTTACACAGTGCCACTAGATGACATCCGAGTCATAAACAACGATCAGGTGTTTTGTACAAGCCCGGAAAAACTTATAATGTCACGAAAGTGTAAATACGATGCTGATGCATTTTGTTTCATATGTGGTCAATTTATTAAAGTTCAAAAGCAAACTGTTTCATGCCATGGTATTTTTTTCCGTCTAATTACGATATAAAATACCGAAATTTTATGCTTTGCAATCAAAGTCAAATTTGGTGTTAACCCGTGTAATATAACGGCAATAAAAAAAGCGAAAATTTAAAAATAACATGAAAAATACGCGTCAGAAAAAACGGAATTTAAAAAAAAGCGTAAAATTAATTTTAAATATATCGACACGTAAAAGGCTATTTTTTCTAAGTAACAGTTTTGCAAGCTTACCGGAGAATTTAAATTTAAAATTTGGAAAAAAAAATGTAACAGAAAAACTTCTTTAGCTATTTGAATGGGGTAAACATAATGAAAGTTCAATTTAAAAAATCAAATTGTTGATACTACGAGTAATACCAAATAAAATGGACCTTTAATTACAAAGATAAATGTCGCGTATTAAATGAGATGTTGCTTAAACTAAAATACCCTTTCACCGCCTCACATACACAATAGTTAATAAGTGAAGATTAGATGCCGATAGAGACATGTAAAACTGATATTGGCTTTTGTGTTGTTTTCAGGTGGTCCGATCGTTTTTCGGGCTTTTCCTTGTCCACAACGATCTATTTGTGGATACGTTTTTCTTTTTATCTGGACTCCTCACGTTTTCCGCTTTTACAACCTACGAAAAATTACCGAATCCGTTCTTGATAATCTTCAAAAGATACATCAGGTATTTCTTAAGAGCAATAGAAAGTAAACCTTATTACAGTAATTTTTTTTTTTTTTTGCAAAGCCAAATAATATTAGGACATATAGCAAATTTGCAATTATATCCTATTTTATAATGAATATACTGTATAAATAATATATATCAATAATTATTATCAAAGTGTAATCTGGATGGTAAAAAAATTTACTGAAAAATACAAATGTAGAAATTTCTACGACGCTTTCTATATTTCAAGTTCTTTCTTAAATTAAAGTGACAGTAATCGGAACGCTACTTTTCTTAGCGAAAAGATCAGACATTAAAAAGGACAAATATATCGGTACTGCAATATTGTTGTAAAAAAAAAAGGCTAATCCGGCTAAAACAAAATTTACCCTATTTACAGACTTATAGTGGCACTTGCAGTGGTAATATTCTACGTTTGCGCGGTACATACTTACACAGGAAACGGCCCTCTGTGGAACAAATTAGTCGATCTAGAAATAGAACTCTGTAGGAGGAACTGGTGGCTTAATTTACTGATGATCAACAATTACGTCGACACTGAAAACATGGTGAAAACTCTTAAGCGTTTTGTCATATATTCATTTAACCGGTGAAGGAATTGGGAGAAGGGCAGGATAATGATGATTGTTCTAAAACATAAAGAGCAGACGGTTAGCGTGGTATGGACATGTGATGCGTACAGAGAAGATGCATGTGATTAGGAGATGTATGGAAATGGTAGTGCAAGGTAGAGGGAAATGAGGTCGACCGAAGAAGACATAGATGGAGTGTGTGAATGACGATATGAGAGAGAGAGGAGTGAGTGCTGAGATGACGGCTGATAGAAGAGAATGGAAGAGAAAAATTAGCTGTGCCGACCCTACCTAGTGGTATAAGGTGAAGAAAAAGAAGATTGTTTTAAATATAAAGATAATTTTAAAACTTCGACTTTAAGCACATTCTGACTTTCGTTTTTTGTGAATGTTATTTTCTTACTGTTAAAAGTAAAATATATATTTTCCCAAATTCACGTAAAGGGAATTCGTCGTTCATTACTTAATAAAGAAACTTGAAATCGTAATATATTAAATATATGAACATATAGTAGAATTTGAAGTTGTCGTGGCCTAAATGATAAGAATAAAAATTAGACTTCACGTAATTACTTATACAATTGCGACATACACCTCAAGTCTCAAATGAGTAGCGGCATTCACGTTGTGATGTCTATGTCTTCCGATAACTATTTGACCACAGGTGAGCACAGTTCACTCAGCTAAAAAAAATCCGAAATTTATAAAGGTTTTCGCTATTGTTCCATATTCATTCGTTCTCCTTTAATCCATAATATAGAAGATAATCCTAGTTTGACACCGTTGAAATACTACCCATAATTTGAGTCGACTATTATCAAAGCCGGCAATCTGACTTTTGGACAATGATTGGTAAATCAGAAAAACGAATTATTGACTTTGTATTCCATTGGCAGTCACAAAACTCTTCGGAACGACATCTTAGATAAATAACAGGCTAACTATTAACCTTTATTTAATGCAGGCTTTGAACCGTATTCTTTGAAGGAGACGATTATATTCAAATCAATCTGTATTGACATATCAATAATTTTTTTTTGTCCAAATGCACAGATTGCAACCTTTGATAATAGACGATTCATTTATAAATTGTAAACATGACGATTAATAAAATTTTCAGTGCTTAATAATATCTTGGTATATACCCTGCGACTTCCACTTCTTCGTGATCACCGTATTCTGGTTCTCTATATACAAAAAGTATCCAAAAGCAGGTCTCATAGCTGCTAGCGTCATGTTTGTGATCGCACTTTCGCTACCAGGGATCATTACCTACTTGTACCGGTTGTCTGCAGTCCAGATTTTCACTATTGAGTAAGTTTGGTTCTTATCTTATTAGTTCGTAATCGATTTAATACAAACCGATGACTCCGTGATCGCGACAACTGTAACGTAAGAAACGTTGGATATAAAATGCGATTTAATGCAACTTCATGTCCGTGACCGCGAAAATTGTACACAGGAAACGTTGTACATAATACAATGAGCACGCCGCAGATATGATGCTACCAGGAGCATATGGGTATATCAACCGGATCATAGATCGAAGTCATGGGTGAATCTGACGGTCATGGGTGCTGACGGCTAAATACGAATTAGTACAAGAAGTGTTTTATTTTGCACATAATGTAGTTAAATACAGTTAAAAATCAGTCGGTGCGCGGGTTTACCACTTACTTACCCGCCACTGGATTGCACTTGGGAAACCGCCTAACAATTTCGGCAAAATCGCTGTCACATATGATCTTAGACCAATCACCCGCTATCGTTGTTCGGAACAATGAGACAATATCCTACAGTCTCAAGGGAAGGCGGAGGGAAAAAAAGAAAGGAAATGATGGTACTACTGGGTTCGCATTTCATGAAATTACTAAATGACAATTATTTCTGCTTAGCCTAGTTAGAAACATTAGAGTGGTAATGTTCTTCAATACTTACGCAATACTTATTAGGTACTACAAACTCAATATTATCAAGCAGATACATACATTTTCTACTGGTGGTAGGACCTCTTGAGAGTCCGCGCGGGTAGGTAACACCACCCTGCTTATTTCTGCCGCGAAGCAGTAATTCGTTTCGGTTTGAAGAGTGGGGCAGCCGTTGTAACTATACCGGAGACCTTAGAACTTATTGTATCAAGGTGGGTGGCGCATTTTACGTTGTAGATGTCTATGGGCTCCAGTAACCACTTAACACCAGGTGGACTGTGAGCTCGTCCACCCATCTAAGCAATAAATAAAAAAACATACCCGATGACGAGTGGGCTTTTTTATTTCGGAACATTCATTGTAGCTATTTAAGCCAATGAAAAAGTATATGTAAAAAGAAAAGAATTTTCAGATTTCTCGTGAATCCTCGTGGTAGTCACGATTTGCATGTACTGTACATTAAGAGTCATGCCCGTTACGCGACCTATCTCGTTGGCGTACTTTTTGGATTCATCTTTGCGAAATATAAGGCCGAAGGGAAACTGAATACTGTGTCGAAGGTACGTCTTTAGTAATTAAATATCTTATCCTTATTTTAGACGGGTACAGCGAGTATAGGCTCCTTGCGATATCTCCTTTGCATTGGAATATTGATTTTCAGCCATCAGGTCGTAAGATGTGATTGCTTCTCGGCCGAATAATCTCGGACGATTGTACCACAATAGACCAGTACTAGATCCGAGAATTAGAAACGAGTATAGGACTATAGGTAGAAAGTTTTTTGGCCCTAAGAAAATACATGAGCAATTTATTTCGAGGAGGAAAATATCTATTACAATACCCGGCGATAAATATTGCTCATCGCTTTCTACGAAATCAAAATTAGCCAATTGTCTCTTTCTATTGGTTGATTTGCTGTATTAAGAATGCGATAAAAATTACTGTTTTACGGCATAAATAGTTCTAATAGCACGGAAATAATCCTTTCTCTTGCACGATAGTAGTACCTTTGAAAACACCACTAGATGAGCTGAAGGCTGTATAATTACGGAGAAAAAAAAACTTAAAGCATTCATTTAAGAGACGCTTTGCTCCGCAACCCAGTGGAAATGCGTCTAAATAATTCACCACAAATTACGTTATTTTTTTTCTATATCACGTTTCTATTTTCCAGAAATGGTCCGTCCTGTTTGCAATTATAGCGTCAACTTTGATGCTGGCGGTTTTAGTGTACGGTGGCACATTTATATGGCGCGAATACCGGCCGTTAGAGAGCGCAATATATGCCGCACTGAACAGACCGGCCTGGGCATTCGGAATGGGACTGCTCATCATGTGCTGCGCGTTTGGACAGCTGCGTTAGTATTCAAACAAAAATGAATCTAAAAACTATGAACTGCACACTGTACTGGTGGTAGGACCTCTTGTGAGTCCGCCACAGGTAGGTACCACCGCCCCGCCTATTGCTGCCGTGAAGCAGTAATGCGCTTCGGTTTGAAGGGTGGGGCAGCCGTTGTAACTATACTTGAGACCTTAGAGCTTATATCTCAAGGTGGGTGGCGCATTTACGTTGTAGATGTCTATGGGCTCCGGTAACCACTTAACACCAAGTGGGCTGTGAGCTCGTCCACCCATATAAGCTATAAAAAAAGTGAAATTAGAAATTCTATTGAACCGATCGATGATTCTAATAAGTAATCATGTGAAATGATGCGAATATTTTCGAATTTAAATCATGGAGCGTTTTGTCTCAACCTAACATTTCCTTGTCTAATACACTTAAATTTTAATTTCTAGCCTTAGTTAACGGTATCCTTACATGGTACCCATGGGTCCCCGTGAGTCGACTGACGTACGGAATTTACTTTACCCACACCATCATAATCGCAAGAAACGTCTTCATCACGAGGAACCTGCAACATAACGATTATTTTAAAATTGTAAGTATTGTGTTTATAAAGCATTGGCTCATGGCTAATATCAATATAAGGGGAAAAGGTGCGTAGGAAATATTTTATCTCGTGAATTTTTACACAGCAAAAGAAAACAAGAAACAGCATCGATATTTTATTAAGACCTATAAGCGGCATTTCGAGTCGCACCCGTAACGATATTCTGCTAATGTCCACTGCGAGGCAGACATACGTTTTAGGAGTAGGTCAGTTGGTATGCACTAAAATTATTACTTCGAGCGCATATCTCAATGTGGGTGGCGGCATCAAGAAATTTGTGAGGCCATTCACTGATCGAGTGCTACACACAAAATCTAGGAAGCAAAATTTACCAAATTATAATGATCAATTGCAATTCCTAACAAAAAAGATTAGGTAGTACGAAAACATCGTACTATTACTCTCGAATTTTTAAGATTACTTACAACACTGGTTCCTGAGTCTAAATTGGTAGCGTATAATGCGCTATTGCGGTTACAAAGACAAATCTAGATGTTTAAACCTCGATGAGTGTATGTATTTTCCATATAGACTTCGAAACTGCCGAACCGATTTTCATGATATTATATTTAAGAAATCTTCAGATTGGCCTAACGGGTATCTTGTGAAGTTTGGTAGCGATGGGATCAAATTCGAATAAAAGATTGGCCCGCTGTACATTTTCTGGAGATAAATCTATAAAAAAACAATGGCAATTGATTTACTGTGTGTTCATTTTCATTTCAGCTCGTTGATGGAACTGGTACAATATTTTGGTCATGCATATTCGCTCTGCTGCTTTGGTTGTTGGCTGAAGCGCCAATTAATAAGCTTATCGACATTTGCTTGAGATCACTGTGAGTAATTAAGTAAAAACGCTAATATCGTAATTATTTTATGACGACTTTAAAACTTATCTATAAAATTACTGGGAGAAATGAAAGCTACGTATTTAGGTTTACGTCGTAGAACAAAAATTATTCACTGAATATTTAAATTAAATTAAAATGATGACTTTCACATTGAGATATTAATAGTGTAAAAATAGCGTCAAAAAGTTGAATCGTTTTAACGTCATTTTCAAGATAAGTTTCTATCTATAAGTTTCAAATATCAATATGACATAATTTTAAGGTAGGTATAACTATGACGTCACATCGAAACGCTGCTTCGCTACAGGACACGACATCATAGCCCACTTGTCGTGGCTGCAACTAATGGCAAATTCTGCTTGCTAGGAAGAAATACATTAAAAATCGCATTTTTATCCACATCGTTAAATCAATGCTAACTTCAAAAATTGTGAACGGGTACAAATTATTATACCTAATCTATTTTTTGTCGAACCTCTCAAGATGAAATAAATGTAACAATGTTTCATGCTATTTCCATCCACAATTTCAGAATTCGGAAGGGGGAAAAAAGAGCTCAAGGAGTCTCTGAAGGAAACGGAAATTCTCAAAAGAACTTCAAATCGATCGACCGTGATAATTTCGCCAAGGAGGAAAATCTCTCTACAAATATTCAACTAGACTCTAAAATGTAAATAAGTGTATACAGCGGAGCCCCTATATTTGGCGTGTTACTACAAAAATTGCTTAAAAAATAAAATAAAATAAGTCATATTTTAAAAGCAGTTGAACTAAAACTTGTAATCTGTATTTATTATTACCCTGATAATCCTAATCAGGATATTCGACCAGAATAATAAATGTATTGCATTGTCATCCGCTTTTTATAGGTGTGCATAATATATTATTTTCCAGATACTCAAAAGTGACGAAACTGGTGAAAATTATGATGAAAGATTCCATATTATGGATAAATAGATGTGAAAGGCTTAACAAGGTAGCGAGTTCATTAAGTGTTTCAAAATCCCACCTTTATTTTTAATTTCATTTCTTAATTTTATTTTAGTTTACGAATGCCGCATGTCAGTATTAATATAATTATCAGTATAGACTTTTATGAACGTTATATTATAGGAAAATGTTTTAAATGCGACAAGTAACTATTTATAATGGCTGCTTTTTTCTCACTTAGATACATGCATAATAAAATAGTAAATTTGACTTAGCCTTCACAAATTATTCAGAAATCTGACAAGCAGTACGCTGCGACTTGACTTTGTCCACAAGGTATTTACTGCCCACTTCATACATAGCCAATCATACCAACATATCTCTGGTTTCCCTTCAACACGTATAAAAAAATTTAAATTATGTTCACTCATATTTTAAACGACTTCACGTTACAAAGAAATTTTCAAATTAGGGGGCGTGACGTGTTATTGTTTATTTTTATTGAGAACACTGCCATCTATCTTTTCTAGTAAGCTTCATTATCTAAGATGACAACAAATCTTAGTTCAGTAACTTTTCCATAGATGTCACTGTTTAAAATTTCGGTGACATGACTACAAGTCGATGAAATGCATAAATTGATTTTTGTAAACGAGCATTGCAGTACAATAATTATAGAAGATGCCAAGAAGAATGAAAAGCTATAGCTAGCTCAAATCCTAAAAGTACGTATTTAATGGATACTATTGTTTCATTGGTACTACTGTACCTTATTGACACTATACCTACACAAAAAATACTACGAAAGTACACTCGGAACTGTCTTTACGCGAGGCTTGAGGAGGCCTGAGGAAGGTACTCATTTTTCGGGTAGGCATTATTGAAGTCCGTGAGCGATAGTAGCCACTATTGTTTAGGTCGGTTGTATAGTTATCTGCCTACAAAGTCAATACAAAAATAGTAAAATGTACACGATATCCCGAATACCCCGTAGGTAATATCCACGGAATAGATAAAATTTATCTATTCCGTGTGACATCCGGATACATCTGCGAGGGGCGCAGGAACAAGAAGCCGCCCGCACCTAGGATTTTTTTTAATGCTTAGGTGGGTGGACGAGCTCACAGCTCACCTGGTGTTAAGTGGTTACTGTAGCCCATAGACATCTACAACGTATATGCGCCACCCAACTTGAGATATAAGTTCTAAGGTCTCAAGTATAGTTACAACGGCTGCCCCACCCTTCAAACTGAAACGCATTACTGCTTCACGGTAGAAATAGGCAGGGTGGTGGTACCCACCCGCGCGGACTTACAAGAGGTACTACCACCAGTAAAAATAGGTCTCATAAAAAAACAAGCTAAAAACATAATCATCAAACATCAAGTTGATGGTATCTTTGTATATATATTTTTTACCTATACAAAATAATTTCTCTATTAGTAAAGTTATTAGTTCCTCCAGTTTTAATCAAAATTAATAGTTGAAACAATGTCAAGTAGGTACCAATAAAAATCATCCGAATCAACCTTGCTTCTGTAAAGACCGTATATTTAAAGATGTAATTATATATGTCTACGTAACCGGCACAATGTCAGTATCATTTACTTCCTACTGCTTCACAGCATAGGGCTGCCATCAATTCGAACAATGAATGTCACAATTTCGCTAGGAAAATGTTTCTGACATTAATAAAGCTTCCGATCTGAAAAAAAAATTGATCTACTCGTAGTTGATTTTCCAAAATAACATAACCAAAATATTATTTTAAAAAATCAACTAAGACTCTTTTCAAACTATACTTCACATGAAAGTATTTAAGTTAAAATGGGCAGTGAAAATGCTCTACAGCTACACAATGCCTAGCACGCTTGCTTTATGAACATTGATTTTTTCTTCTTCTAATAGTTCGTAAGGATAAAACGCGATACTTCAAATCACAATGAATGTAATTTTCATTAAAAAAAATTAAAACCTACAAGGTGGAACCTATTTACAACACTTCCTAAATACTGGCGCTTAAGTCTGTTTAAGTTTCTTTAAGATAAGGTCTTAGTCGGGTAAGATCCGGGACACAGATATTGGAAAAATATTAACAGTGAAATGACTCCAAGCAGCCGAAGTTTTATAGATACTTAGATAAACTACTTAAGAACCCCTAGCTTTGGAATTTAAAAAAGCGGCATAATCCTCAAAAATGTGATATTTCCATATAAAAAATATGGCATCCTTTAATAAGTGGTGCACAGTACGCATGGCCACAGATATTATGTATTGTGCACTGAGCTGCAGGTAAATCAACAATGAGATTGCATCACATGATGATATCATTATTAATAGGCAAGGCAAAGAGCTACTATGTGTATTATTAAAGTAGTAGTTAAATGTTTTATCATCGAAGTGATCATAGATAAACTAAGCGTTTAGCCCGGCTATGTCATGCACTGTTTGATCTAGGATACACAGGATAGAAAAAATAAGTTATAAATTTTTCATAGTTAACAGATAGACAACAATTGGAACCATAGAATGGAGAATATCAGTGTTCTAATCTAACTAGCCTGATCTTTGTGCTCTTAGTTATATTTCTATTTTTCCGTACTTTACTCAGCTCGTCTACTGCCAACCTCGTGACACAAGAGTTTAGGATTCCCGAGAAAATACATTACACTCAATGTATCTAAAAGAGTTTAGTCGGATATTCCGGCGAAGAAATCCGCCAACTGTTAAGGCGATTCGCTTTAGTTCACGAAGACATCAAATATATACTAATATGTTTAAACTAATTCAACTAGAATTTACTCTGAAATATGAACATAATTTTCAATCTTATTTAATATAATGCTTAGGTAGGGAATAAAAAAATATTGTGTAGAACGAAATAACAAAAAAGGGTGCTATTCCGGAGTTTCTATATGGCTACTATACTTATAACTATAGGCTATCAAGATTGAACACTGAGATTTAATAAAGATAAAGTTACCTTTGAAAAAATTTTTTTAGTAGTAAAGAGAATTGTGTTCAGATGTAATTAATACCAATCTGCGAAATTCATTCAGTACAGTACAAGCTGTTCTACAATTTTTTTTGCATTGTTATCAAAATAATTCATATCATCATTGTGCGGAAAATGAGGTAAGTATGACGTCAAAATATGGTACATACATTTACGTCAGTTATGAAGATGACGTCAACTGGGGTGACTGTGGCGGACATTTAAAAAGGTTCTATCTTTCAGTTTTACTAAAAAAAAAATCCTACCTATGCTGATAGCCTTGAGATGCTATTTCAGCGTTGCCCTAGCGTATAGGTGAAATCTCAGGCTCAAACCGGAAGTGTTGCTAACACTGGCCCTATCAAGAGCAGTGCTTCGCAAATCTACCACCGAATCTGAAACGCGACTCACTAAGAAGATCCGGCGAGAAACTCAGTGAGCTATGTCTATGGATTTACTCTTCGAGCCCTTCGTCGCAAGCGACGTGCTCGGCGAGGACGGTGACCGGTGCTTGAGGTAGGTACCTAAAAGCACTGTTAATGGATCGGGAGGATCCGTAATGACGTGTTTAGAGCGACGTCGACTGTTTACCATTCGGTCTACAGGATCGGGTATGTAGTTCCCGGTGGCACGACAAAAGGGCTTTCATGTCGTGCCGCCTCTTCAAAGTGTCGCAATGATGCCGACTGTAGATATTTCCACGATCCTTAGGAACCATGGTGCTCCGACGACTATCCTGCAAAAACGGGATTGAATAACTTGAAGAGGTTTCAAGTTGGTGCGGGCCGCGTGAGCGAACACTACGCTTGCATAAGTCATGACGGGGCGTACCGTTTTGTTGCAGGGACGGAATGTCATCCCTCTGTCGAGGGTGACGCCTAGATATTTGATTTCGAAGCCCACGGTATGGGCTGACCAAAGAGAGTGATGGGGCTAACGGCGGCGGTGTTAACGTGCCTATCAGGGAGTGGGCTGCTCGAAGTGGTATTCGGAGGGCGACCCTTTTTGAAGAGCACCGCTGTGATTTTCGTGGGGTTGATGTCAATGCGCCACTTCCGGAACCACTGTCCCATGGTGGTTACCGCGATCTGGAGTCGCCAATAGCGACTTCTTCGTACATGAGTAGTAGATAGTCGTGTCATCGGCGAAGAGCGCTAGATGGGTCTCCGGAGGTTTATCATTGATATAAAAACTAAATAATAACGGGGAAAGCGGTTCCATTTTTCGGTGTGCCCGGCTTATGTATACCGATAACGCCCGCTTCTTTCCACACCACGGGAAAGAATCAGTTCGTCATAGCGGCATTTAAAATGGTAGCCAACATTGCTACCAGTTGGACTGGTAAGATTTTTAAGGCGCGATTGCGGATGCCGTCGGAATCGAGTTCTTCTAAATAATTATTCCATGTCTTATTTCGGGCGTCGCTTAGGCGGGATTTGACTTCCCGCTGTAGACGACGCACCCGAATCCGGTTTGATTCCGTGAGATATCGATCGTAGGCTCAGATTACCGTGTTTCTAACTCTTAAGAGATTTCCAAGCTCGGGGGAGATTGTGATGCGGTGGAAGCATCATCGACTTCTTTGGAAGATCTTATGATCGCAGAAGATATGTGTTCTATCAGAATGTTTATGGATTCGACAGTGTCCTCGGGGGATAGATTTGAATCCGGGTCGTGGGGGAGGATTGGTGGAGCAGTTTCAACTAAGTTGGTACTCAGCATCTTCCAATCCACCATGTTCCTCCTGACTATGTCTGGGTTATGGGGGGCGATCGAGCAGCATAACGACAGGTCGATGGTCTGAGTATAGCTCTGACAATGCCTCGATGA